ATGTATGTTGATACACTTGCTGGTCCTAAATCAGATTGTGATCTGCTGTGTGTTGGACTTGAGCTGTGACGACTCTTGGCTTTGGATAGTGAGCTTGCAAGGTAAGCTTTCGTGTCCTCGGTTTAGTCATGTTGTGGTTCCACCATGTCCCATGGGGGTATGGTATATGCATGTTGTGTTACATGCTTTTGATGTTTTGGAAATGTTGTTGAGCTATTGTATGTTAGTGCCTTGTTGATATGCATGGAGGTGTTCCACCTATACGGTAAGACTGAGTATGTAGAACATACAATAGAGTGAGGCTGTGGGTGAGGTGCAAGCGGTGTTCCTTGTACTACATGTAGGTATAGACGTATTCCTATATTTCTCTGGCCAGTAGAATAGTGATTACACACATGCCATAGATATTTGTTGCACTGCATAGTTTTGAGAACTTATATTGATAAAATGCTTTTAGAACTTATATTGCACATGTAAGTGAGCTTGGGGAGGAAGATCTTTGAGGACCCCTTGTCTTACTGAGATTTCTTGTTTAGAGATCTCACCCCACGTTTGGGGAATGCTTATTTCATGATCAGGTAATGTTGAGACCTCAGGCGGCAGGAGGCCGGAGCTGAGTTAGATTTGCTGTTATTTATGCTGACATGTTGGATGCTGGATTTGCATGCTGCTTATATGCTTATAGCTTCAGTTTATGTTTATGGAGTTCTATGTTAAGACTTGTTGTTTACGCTGTTTATTTGGTGAGCATGGGGATTGTCCATGACACATAGTATTGTTTCGTCTTGAGTCTTTTGGGAGTTGTAATAATGTATCAGGATGTTGTCCGGATTACGAGATGTAATGTCGTGATTTAGATACACACTTTATTTATATATTGAGGTATTTCAGTAGATGTCTTATTGCAATTTACATACAGGCGATATTTTATGAAATTGTTTAAGTAACAAAGATGGTAATTGATAATGACGTCATAATTGAAAAGAAAAAGAATATTCTGCATTTCTAATTAAGCACCGCTTAATACGATGTAATGATAACACTACCGGATATATACGGGGTGTTACATATATAGCTAAGGTTATAGTAGAAGGTCCTCCCCATAACCTCTGAATAGGGACACAACATCTCAGCCAGCACTCCCAGATATGACCCCTCCATCAATGCCACTAAGTCAAATCCCTCTAACATAAAGAATGCAAATCCAATGACTTATGCTGACAAATGGGTCTGGTAACAAGATCAACAATAAATCGTGCATGCACTGAGGGATCATCATTAAGAAAATACCCAAATGGGAGGTCCACATGCTTAGGTTCAAGCTCAATTGCAAGTTTTGCTGACTTATTCTTCAGTTTTATCGTGCTAGCATTGCTTGGTCCGTCTTTCAGTGTCAGTTGGGACTCTCTTCGAACCTCATTTGCAGCCATGATAACAACACAAACTTGAAAACAAGCATGATAATTTATCAACAACACAAAACACAAACATAATAATAATAATAATAATAATAATAATAATAATAATAATAATAATAAAACCAGACCTCAAATTCGACCAAAAAATATTTACAAAAACTATGAAACTTAAACCCTATACCATATACATTTATGAAAACCTAAAGTAAACAACCATAAAACTGAAGAATAAAAGCAAAACTTCATATCAATCAAACCAAACAATTAAAGAATCAAACTAGGGCTCATAAACCCTAAAAAGACAAAGAAAAATTGAAAAAAAACAAACAAAACATACCAATAAGTGAAAGGAATGAGCGAGTGATGTTGCTAGGGAAAAATCACAAATTGTAGCCTTAGGGTTTAATTGAATCAATTACACCTTTGTTTATAACCCCTTTTAGCCAAGCTGGGTTTTTAAAAATACAGCCCTGATATTATGTAATCGATTACACACTATAGCATAATCGATTATATAATAGGGCTAACGATCAAAACTTTTTTTGGAATGTGTAATCGATTACACCTGTGTAATAATCGATTACATATTCAGTCAATGGTCAAACATGGACATATTGGTAGAATGTTTTGGATAAAGGGCAAATTGATTATTTTCTAATTAATATCAAAAAATCCACCTATTGGTTTTCGTAACATGTTTTTATTATATTTTTTTATATTTTCAGACAGGTTATATTTATAATTTTTCTATTTATTTTAATATCATTATGTTAAAATTATATTACATTTTTTAATTGTTAAGTTGATTTTATTTTAATATAATGGTAATAAAATAATAATAAACGGATTATAAAGAAAAAAAATATAAGTATAACATTTTTCATCTTCTATTACATTTTTTTTAAATTAAAATTGCTCCAATCGTATACATTAAATTAAGTTAAAGGGTTTAAATTTTTTTTTTTTGGAAATAGTAAGGTTTCTTACTATTTTATGCTCCAATTTTATATGTTTAATGTTTCTTCTATAGACATAATATTGTCATAAATTAAATTAGTGGGTGAATTTTATTTTGTTCTCGTTATCTCTCTTCTCTTTATAGGACTGTTGGACAAGTGGCTTCAATACTCAAGAGTAGGGGTGTTCATCAACCAATCCAAACTGTGGTGATCGAACTGAAAAATCGAAAACCGAATTAATCGAAAATCGAAAAATCAAAAATAAAAAAAAACCGCAAAATTTAATTGGATTGGATCGGTTTTTGGATTGGTTGGTGAAAACCAATCCAATCCAAACCGATCCAATAATTCCCCAACCTTATCCTCTATCTACTTGGGACTTTCCCCAATCATAGCCCAAAAATCATATAGCAAAATTCTTAATCCAAGACCTATTAACCTATCATGTTGGAGAAAGTGAATTGTGCTTGATCTATGTTATGTTTTTTTCTTTTTTGGTAAGATACATAATATATTTTTATTGCATGAGTTATTATTGTATAGCAGCTCCTTTATAAGATGAAAATTTGGGTTACTTCGTATCTCAGGCAACCATATTATAAATTTTTTGTTGGAGGTAAAAGATGGTAATTCAACTTTTTGTTGTACAATGCTTCTAGATTGCACAATAATCATCATACAAATTTTACAAAGCCGATACATACAAAAGATATATTATTTGCACAATGATCATCATACAAATCTTAGGCTTTTCAAAAAGCTGAAAATCGATCCAATCCAAACCGAATAAAATTGGATTGGATCGGATCAGATTTGAAAAAAATCCAAATCGAATTGATGATTACATGAATAAACCGAAGGGATTGGATCAGATGATTTTTGGTTCCAAAACTGATCCAATCCAGACCGCAAACACCCCTACTCAAGACCCTACTCAAGAGGGGGGTGAATTGAGTTTTACAAAATCTTTTCGCAAAGTGCCTCCTTTGATATTTTAAAGAGTGTTTCTTCAATAAAATGATTTAATAAGAAAAAATCTAAGTGTGAGAGCAAGTGTGTGATCAATAAAGTAAGCAAGCAAATAGATAAATACAATCTAAAAATGCAATTTCAATACTAAAGTAAGGAGTTTAAGGTTAAAGTAATTGCAAACTATATGTATTCTGGTTCGGTCACCACCACCGTGACCTACGTCCAGACTGAAGCCACTCGATCAAACTTTTTCACTAACTATCAAGCTTGAGGGTGCTTGACAAACCACTACAACCTTTCAAGACTTCGGGCTCTTGATGCCTTTACAATTTTTCACTCCAAATTTTCTTAGGAATTTGGTGACCACTCAAATGTATAGGGTTCACTCTCCTAGCTATTCAAGAAATCAAATGAAGGAGTTTAACAATGGCTAAGTACTCTCAAAGTACAAATTATACAAGTTGAAGAACTATGGGTGTTGACACTCTCACAAGAATAAAGCTCAAAGAGAATTTATGATCAAGAAGACAAGAATAATGCAAGTAGTATGATATAAATGAGTAATAATGATCAAGAAGAGTTGTCCAATCAATGGAACAATAATCTCTATTTATAGAGGTCCCACGTGGGTGTTTTTCTACTCATTTTCGTAAACTAGCTATTTTATAGCCATTATTTTGTCTTCTGCACAGTGGGTAATCGATTATCATTGGGTGAGTAATCGATTACCATGAAGGGTAATCAATTACCATTGTTTGGGTAATCGATTACCAACCTGTTGAAAGGTTGGATTTCGCCCCAAAATGGTTTTCTCTTGATTTAAATCAGTTTCAAATATTTTTCAACATTTGATAAACATTTAAAAATAAATTTTCATGCTATGACTGAATTAAAATATCAAACGATGATTTTATGCATGTATTTGAAAAATACTTTGAGCTTCGTTCACGTAAGAAATCAATTTTCTTTTCAAATAATCCTAAATCCTAAGATATATCACTTTGAGATTGCTTGGATTTAGAGTCTTCTCTTGAAGTTTGAGTCTTGATCTTCTTTAGACTTTTTTTTTTTATGGTTGCACTTTGAAGCTTTCTTTCTATGCTTGTTTGTTATCATCAAAATTGTTAAACCTTTATATTCTTTGCGTAGAGTGCATTGGTTCCACAAGGACCACATCCACTATCGTGTCTATGTGGAGCACAAATATTAAACTCTAAATTAAATTAAAATATATTATTTTTTGAACGACATAATCTTTAATTTAATTTATTTTTATTTTTTGAGAATGACATATGTGATATATCATTCTTGATTATCTTATTATTATTAAATTTACTAAGTTAAATTAATATTTCATATTTTTATAATATTAATTTTTTTAATCTTTATTTGTAAAATTTTACTATAATTAATAATGTATATATTTCTTGAGTTTATTGTTTCTCCATCAAGATAAAATCATCAATCCTAAAATTACATCATTTATTTTTTTGGTATGTAAGCTTTATTCAAAAACACCCTTTCTTAATTTATCTAACGTCAAACGATGTGTACTTTGAGGTTGATGGAAATAACATTATTTCATGGTGATAGAGAAATGATAAACTTATATTTCTTACATTTTTAGAATTTTACCTATACTGAAAATGTGCTTGTAATTAACCGGGTTTTTCCCGGTTGGAATAGAAAATCCTCACCGCTTTGCTCCTGATTCAATTCAATTCAATGTAAGAAAAAAAAAATCGAAAATGTCATTTTCGAGGTTCTTATTGAGAATCCACAACCCTCTTTTCTATCTTGTACTTACACCAACTTCTTCTTCTTCCACTGTGTCATCATCTTCTTTACCGTTGACTTTGAGCAGTGGTAGAGGCAAATCATCACTTTCAACAAAAGCTTCGTTATCATCAGCAACAGATATGGTTAAAGCTATCAGAGTTCATGATCTTGGTGGCCCTCAGGTTAGGTCACTTTCACTTTCACTTTCACTTTCTGCTTCTCACTCACGTCCCTTTGATTATTCTTTCTCATATAACAAAAATGAAATGATGAATTGTTGTATTTGTGTGTGGCACGTGCTTCCCTTGCTTATTAAGTTTCTTTGTAATTGAATTGATGACAGGTTCTGAAGTGGGAGGATGTGGAAATTGGAGAGCCAAAAGAAGGGGAGATTCGTGTGAGGAACAAAGCAATTGGGGTTAATTTTATTGATGTCTACTTTCGTAAAGGAGTTTATAAAGCACCCTCTTTACCCTTCACTCCAGGTTTCCTAATTTTATTTACTCATACCCAGTGATTCTCTTTAGTAATATCTCTGCTTGTAGCAATGTATACTAACTTGATCTGGGTCCTACTTGTTGCTTCTGGAGTAATATACATGAGATTAAATTCTATTGAATTCACTTCCAAATAGGGAAAGATACACATGATGACTAAGTCCCCTAAAAGCTTAACCTTTTAAGTGAAGGCCTTAGAGTGTTTTATATCTCTAGCAGATGTACTCGCGGATGAGATCTTTGGGCTTGAAGCATAGAAATACATAGGTCCACTTTATTTTGTGCGGAGGTGATAAGGATCAAACTCTTGATCACTTGGTCATAGAGGTTGTGTAACACAAAGGCAAGGACAAACTCTTTCTAAATGTTTAAGCTGTTAGGTTAGAGCCCAAGAATGGTTTTATATCTCTAATAGATTCCATTCTTCAAGATTTGATCCTAGGATTAGTGGAAATATCTTTTAAATTTGTAAAATTTTAAGATCTTGCAAATGCTTTGTTTTTTTATGACACATTTAATTTTGATATAAAACCAAGGCTGATTCTCTCTCTCTCTATATATATATTATGTTCTTGAGTGTTTATGTACCCTAGATCTTTTTTGTTTCACTTTTTAAAGCAAATTATTATCAATATATTGCTTGATTAATAAGTTCCAGCCTAAATTGAAGTCTTGAACCCAGCAGGATGACTGATTCAGGGCTACTTATGTTTGAAGCAAAAAAATATTTATACCAACCAAGCTGTCCAAAGTCAGAGGGCGAGCCTTGGAGAAGTGGTAAGGTTGTTCCTTGTGACCGGAAGGTCACGGCTTCAAATCTGATAAACAGCCTCTTTGCAAAAAATGCAAGGGAAAGGCGACCCTCACCCCTGTCCTCCTCGCAAGTTGAGGAGCCTTGTGCATTGGGGTTTGTCCTTTTTAAGCTGTCTAAAATCACTGACTATTATTTTTCTATCTGACTGGAGGTGAACACTGATTCTAAATTACTTCTTAAATTTGAAGCTCAAGAATTACTTTATCTACCATTAAGCATATGCATTGATGATGGCTTGGCTTTGGTTGCTTTTCCTTTAAAGTTAAGTCGGTGCCCGGGGTATCATGCGTTGAATTAATTTACCCTTTTAATATGGTAGGTATGGAGGCTGTTGGGGTTGTGACAGCTGTGGGCGCTGGACTCACTGGTAGGCAAGTTGGAGATCTTGTAGCTTATGCGGGTCAGCCAATGGGCTCATATGCTGAAGAGCAGATTCTTCCTGCAGATAAAGTAGTCCCTGTCCCTCCATCAATTGACCCAGCTATTGCAGCATCCATCATGATGAAGGGCATGACAACTCAATTTTTGCTTCGACGTTGTTTCAAGGTAGGTTGCTGATATTACCCAAAACAAAGAGAATTATAAGGAACCACTTCAACCCAAAATCTTAAGGTGTTAGGTGAGGGCTTTTTTAATGGTTTATATTATTCTCTAACACACCCCCTCACGCAAGAGCCCTTTGGGCTTGAAACGTGGATATTGCACAAGTCCAATTTTTTGTTTACCTTTTGTGCTTTTTATTTAATTCCACAAGTGGGGGGCGGTGAGGATCGAACTCGTGACCTTATGGTCACTGAAGCTCTAATACCATGTAAAGAACCACAACCAAAACCTTAAGGTGTTAGGTGAGGGCTTTTTTAATAGTTTATGTTATACTCTAACAAGAATAAAGTGATCATTAGTAGTAAAGCCAAAAGCAGCAGTTAATGAATCAAGATATCCTCATTTACTGTGATTGTCTCCGTGTATCTGATGTCCCAAGCAAAGCACCAAACAACATTGTTTCAGTAAAAGCAAGGTGTTTGCTTTTGTTATAGCAGATTATGGTATCCATTAACTGATGAGTTCATGCTTTATCCTAAAACCAAAGTATTTTCTCTAAATGTTGCCTCAGCTTGATGATAAACACAGATTAATGTACATGCAACTTTTCAGGTTGAACCTGGTCACACGATTCTTGTTCATGCTGCAGCTGGTGGAGTTGGATCCCTATTGTGCCAGTGGGCAAATGCTCTTGGCGCAACTGTTATAGGAACTGTATCCAATAAAGAGAAGGCAGCTCAAGCCATGGAGGATGGCTGCCATCATGTTATAATCTATAAAGAAGAGGATTTTGTTTCCCGTGTCAATGAAATTACGTTGGGCAATGGAGTTGAAGTTGTCTATGATTCTGTTGGAAAGGATACCTTTGAGGTAGTACCTAATCTATACTATATTACACCTAAAAATCAGATGGTTAGGTACTTGAGTGGAAAATTAAAATCATTAACATTGAATATTGGTAAAGTTGCTCCTTTATGACTGAAAGGTTACGAGTCGAATTCATGAAACAGTCTCTTTGCAAAAATACAAAGGTGAAGTTGCATATAAAGATTTACCTCCCCGCTACCCTTGCAAGTGGGGGTTTCATCGGGAGTGGCTTTTGTTATTTTGCATGGCAATATCCATCAGAAGTTGCTTATTTTCTGATTCTTCACGTGCTTCTATTATGATAGTGGAGTATCTAGTAATGCAATTACATTTAAAACTAAACATCAACAAACACCTACTAGATCCTAGATACAGAACTGTATAGTGATTATTGTTCCTAATCTACGTATGAACTCAGGGATCCTATTGAAGAACTCTACACTAGTTTCTTTTCTAATTTAGAAATGAGTTACATATTGCTGCATCCTATTAGCATTGGGTTTTTGAGTGAGTTTGCAAGACATGTGATGAGGTGAAAGTAGATATTTGTATTTGTCAAGACTAGTTACAATAGGCAAGAATTGATAGACTACTGATTTTAATCATTAGATTGAGGCCCTGAAGTTCAAGGATTACTGTCAGATTAAGACTTCATATAAGCAAACTTAGCAGCTTACTTCATTGATGATGATGAAAGCTTTCTTAATGTATGGTTTCAATTTTAAAAATCGAACTTTGGGTTACTATTTCTATATCAGTGATGTTTCTATTATGTGTTTTCGAAATTTAAGAGTACTATGTGAAAAGTCCTTAAGGAGGTATATGGTGTGATTTTTCCAGGGATCTTTGGCATGCTTGAAGCTTCGAGGCTACATGGTAAATTTTGGACAGTCATCAGGTACACCAGATCCAGTTCCATTATCTTCTTTGGCTACAAAATCCCTGTTCTTGACAAGGCCCAGCCTAATGCAATATGTTGCAACTCGGGATGAGCTATTGGAGACTGCTGGGGAGTTGTTTGCTAATGTTGCTTCTGGCGTCTTGAAGGTGCGAGTTAATCATACTTACCCATTGTCTGAGGCAGCTAAAGCACATGAAGACCTGGAGAATCGGAAGACCTCAGGATCTGTTGTGTTGATACCCTAAGGCTATCAGTTGCATGTAGTTGTTAAACACCAGGCCCTTGTTTGATTCCTCTTTAAATGAAATATAGTTTGTGAATGCTATTGCTCATGTATGTGATTCACCGTTTGTCGCTGTACTTAAATGATTTTTCTGTTATCATGGTCATGATATTCAAACATATGCCTTTGTTTTTTGGTTAAATAGTACTCTTATGTTAAGGGGGCGAACCGGAACAGTGATAAAACTGTTCCTTCATGACTGAAAGGTCATGGTTTCGAATTCAGGAAATAGCTTCTTTGCAATTATGTAAGGGTAAGGCTGCGTACAAGGATTTCCTCCACCCCACACTCGCTTGTCGGGTTTAACGGGGAGTTGTTTTTAAGGGGCGGACCGGTGCAATGGTAACACTGTTCCTTCATGACTGAAGGATCATGGGTTCGAATTCAAGAAACAGCCTCTTTGCAATTATGCAAGTGTAAGACTGCATACAAGAATTGTCTCCGCCCCACACTTGCTAGTCGGGTTAAACGGGAAGTGATTTTTTTTTTTTTTAGTACTCTTATGTTATCTTGTTTCCTACTTCACTGGTTGTTTTGTTGTCTTTTTTTTTTTTTTTTTGGTATCCTCGTTTGAGTCACCCCACACTCGTTAGTCGGATTTAATGGGAGTGATTTTTTAGGAGTGGTGGTATCCTCCTTTGAGCCATGAAATCCACAAGTCTGATTTTCTTTGCTGTAGCTCCTCTTTATATATAGAATCTTATGCTAGGTGTGATTACTTGATTATGTAGTTCAGTTAGTTAATTAGACAGTCAGTAGTTTGGCCATGTGTCTAGTCTATTTTACGCGTACAAGGGCTGTGTAAGTTAATTATATCACTCATTTAATCATTTTGCAGAATTGTAATATAACAGCAGCCAGCAGGGCTCTCTTACTCTGATGAGGGACATCAATGGCTGAACTCAGCATTGGTACTGTTGTCACCTCTCCTTGCATTATCCAACAACCATGGAGAGCCAAAATATTTAAATTATTTAATCAAGTATGTTCTGTTAGACATGGAGGAGAGAAAATAGACGAGAGTAAAGCTTTAAGAGGGTGTTTGGTATGATTATTTTTTGGGGAAATCCTAGAAAAGTGGGATGGGGATTTTTTTTTTTATCATGGTATGAGTAATAGTAAAATTATCCTGAAATAGTTTTTTTCCCATCATTCTCATTTTTAACTACACGTGAAAAAAATAATCTCATCCTACCTATGGTATTATTTTTTTCCTACCAACTGGGAAACACATTTTCACATTGAGACAAAAATGTCCTTATACAATATATCAGCAGATGTGTAAAAATGGGTAATTTTATTATTTCCGTTCAGATTTTCATTAATATTTTACAATCAACCAAACATAGTATCGGTAAAATTAACCCAACTTTTTCGAAAAAAAAATTTGGCCTACCAAACACCTTTTTGTAACTTACCCGGGAAAAAAAATTCCATCATGTTCTCGGAAATTTTTTTTTTTTCGATAATTTTTTTTTTCTCATCTACCAAACGTCCACTGATGGTGTGTTGGTGAGAAAATGAATGTGATGATCTCATTCATTCAACACAGTTAGGGAGAACAATTATGCACGTGATATAATGACACGACGTGAATTGTAAAAGCTAACCTATTAGTAGCTATAAAAGAAGGGCTTGCAACTTCTTATGTTGTATAAAAAGTTGAAGCTTTCCTACTGAAAGAAAAGAGTGGACTCACCTTGAAAATAAAAAATAAAAAAGTGATTGACACGAATATCGAAAGATGTGTAATAAGAGAAGAGATTTCTCATCCATCATGAGAAGTCTTTTTCCCATAAACAAAACTACCATACCAATCAAATCATGATGGTAATTACATTCCAGCCAATTTTAAACTAATGAGGACTAAGGTCATTCCTTTCCCGTCAATTATATCCTATCTTAAATTCTTCAAACAATTACACTATATATTTCGACTCCATTTCATCTACAATATATTACAACCTCTATTCTAGTTCAGTTTAGGGTTTTTTATTTCCTTGTTTTTTTTGTTATCTCCTCTCTTCATAATCATGAAAAGCATTTACTAGTGTATAAATTAACGTCTTGAGCTAATCCATATTTTTTTTATGTTTTGTTGAAATATTAAAATGAATAGTAATACTAAAGAGTTTTCAAATAAATTATAACAAGTTATTTAATAAAATATCAAAATAGAATATCCTTTACAATCCTAATAGTCAAATAGTATTGATGAGGTTCCAAAGTGTCTTAGCTTGTTACATGACATAGATCATCAGATTCGGTATTCTCAAAATTATATATTCAGCCTTAATTTTATATAGATTTATCTGAATGTATTATGAACAATCACGTGTGCAATTTGAGGAAAAAATGCAGACATTGACAGAGAAATGTTATCGTAATTACAAAAAGATAGGAGAGAAACGCCAGATTATTGTAATGTAAAGGATTTTTCTTTTTTGAGATATTCTAATCTATTCATCGTTTCGCGACTAGTCGGATTCAGTGTGAATCCCTGAATTAAAACTTTAAACCCCTCCCAAAGACAGTACTGGAGATGATCGAACAAATGCTCTCACCTCCGCATGTTCAATTCTCTAACGCCAAGTTAACTATCATCATTTGGTACTATTATAAAGAATTTAGATTATATATATTCAACCTATCAACTACTATTATACAAAAGAGATTGATAAAGCCTAATTCAAATTGTTTTGTTCCAAAGAAAAAAAATCCACCACTTACGAATTTTTTTGTTTTAAAATAAAAAATAAAACAGTACAATAAGAAAATTTAGATGGTATCCGAGTATAATAAGATTATTGTAACATCCCGAGCGCTGACGAGGGCGGGGAATGATCGCCGGTGCAAAGAGGCACGGCCAAGGAGCGGCTCCTGACAGGCTTCCGGCGAAGGGTTACATGAACGGATGAATCGAATCGACACCCGAAAGAGAGGGATTCCAAAGACTGTGCAGGTATGAGGCTGCACAATTTGGGATAGCTTATAAGAATTAATTGGTACTACCTATACTAACAAGATGCATCTGCTTTTCGGTAGCCCGGAACGGAAGAACTCCATAGTTAAGAGTGCTTGACTTGGAGCAATTCTGGGATGGGTGACCTCCTGGGAAGTTTTCCCGGGAAGTGTGCGAGTGAGGAAAAAGCACACTGAAAAGTCTCGTGTTAGTATGTGGGGATAGTCGTTGATTCTTGAAGCGGTCGGGCGTTACAAGTGGTATTAGAGCAGGCCTCTCTTCCAGTACGGTGTGGTTCGAGAACGAACCAGGCGGAAGCTAGTGGGCATGTAACATCCCGAGCGCTGACGAGGGCGGGGAGTGATCGCCGGTGCAAAGAGGCACAGACAAGGAGCGGCTCCTGACAGGCTTCCGGCGGGGGGTTACATGAACAGATGAATCGAATCGACACCCGAAAGAGAGGGATTCCAAAGACTGTGCAGGTATGAGGCTGCACATTTTGGGATAGCTTATAAGAATTAATTGGTACTACCTATACTAACAAGATGCATCTGCTTTTCGGTAGCCCAGAACGGAAGAATTCCACAGTTAAACGTGCTTGACTTGGAGCAATTCTGGGATGGGTGACCTCCTGGAAAGTTTTCCCGGGAAGTGTGCGAGTGAGGACAAAGCACACTGAAAAGTCTCGTGTTAGTATGTGGGGATAGTCGTTGATTCTTGAAGCGGTCGGGCGTTACAAGTGATATCAGAGCAGGCCTCTCTTCCAGTACGGTGTGGTTCGAGGACGAACCAGGCGGAAGCTAGTGGGCATGTAACATCCCGAGCGCTGACGAGGGCGGGGAGTGATCGCCGGTGCAAAGAGCCTCGGACAAGGAGCGACTCCTGACAGGCTTCCGACAGGGGGTTACATGAACGGATGAATCGAATCAACATCCGAAAGAGAGGGATTCCAAAGACTGTGCAGGTATGAGGCTGCACAGTTTGGGATAACTTATAAGAATTAATTAGTACTACCTATACTAACAAGATGCATCTGCTTTTCGGTAGCCCGGAACAGAAGAACTTCATAGTTAAGCGTGCTTGACTTGGAGCAATTCTGGAATAGATGACCTCCTGGAAAGTTTTCCTGAGAAGTGTGCGAGTGAGAAAAAAGTACACTGAAAAGTCTCGTGTTAGTATGTGGGAATAGTCGTTGATTCTTGAAGCGGCCGGGCGTTACAATTATTATTATTATTTTATCGAATATGATAATATTCATATGAAAATCTAAATGAAAAATTTAAAAATCATATAATGGCTTGGGAATAGAGTAGAAACGTCGTGATTTACCAATCATGCTAGCTCATCTCACATACATCAATGAACTCAAAAAGGGCACATTATTTTTTCATAATATCATTGGCACAAAAAAATAAAAATAAAGGATGTATCACAGGGATATAAAGGCTCAATTAGGCCAATATCATTGTTATTTTTTTAACAACTAGGCCCCAAGAAATGAAATCCATCTAGTATAGAATATAAGGCTCAATTATACAAATCCCTAAAAAGGCTAGAATGTGAAAAACTAGATGAGGGCTTGTATGCCTTGCTGTTGCATCTCTATTAGTCTCCACATTAGGTAAATACCATCTTCTCCATGATCTTCATGGTCCTTTTGTTGTAAAGCCCAAGCATAGTATACAGTGTGGATTGTATCCTAGTAAAAAAATCATAATTAGTTAAAAATCAGACAAGCAACGGTATATTCACTTCATGAAAATGGATATTACATACATGTACAGATTATGTTGTACATGAACTTGTATTTTGACAACACAAAATTTACTCATGAAATGACCAACACAACCAGCATTATCATGAAAAACCATGAGAAAAAATCAAAGTTAAAGCCCCAAATACAAGAGCAGACAGCACTTAGTCATAATGACGGCCAGAAGGGGGGACGGGGTGTTATTGTTAAGCCCATTTGAATGTAACAAACCAATCTATCTATACATAGTGCAAATATGAAACCAGGCATTTCCTCATTGTATATAGAAATAACAAAAAGTAAAAGTACACACATCATTCATCTTTACTTGATGCATTCCTTCTGTAATTTCTGTTATATAGGAGAAACATGAGCTAATAACAGAACATCAATACCCCAACATATAATGGAATGAACTTGAATTACATCAAGATTATGTTGTACATGAGTCTTTGAAATTTTTACACCAGTAAGAAGCACTTGTCTCAAATGGGACATCAAAAATTATATCAAATTTAACCCATTCTGATTTTGTTCGTGTTTAAGCAAATAAAAGAAAATCGCATTTTCACATTGTAGATATTGAAATATAAACAGTAAAAACACAGCATTCACCTTGCCTCCTTCTGTAATTGAGCCATTCCTATCACGTACACAGTAGATTTGCTGAGTTTGAAACTGAATAATTGAACAAACCATATGGTAAGTTTTCATTTCTACTGCATAAGAATCAATTTCATAAAATAGCAGTGAACTTCTGGAAGTAATAATTTACATACCATTACAATAATCACCGGAGATGATCCCATCATCTTGGTCTCTCTTACTTCCGCCTCAGATACATGCAGGATCTGCATGGAGAGTTAAAAATCAAACTACAGATCCTAATAGGTGCAAGCATCTTAATCAATACTTCACTGTAGAAAAAATTGTGCAGGATTCACAAAAGGATGTTGGAGAGGCTTAACTAAGTTAAATTCTAAAAAATTCAAGTATTTAACATAGAATTGCATCATTAACGAATAAAACTACAATCTGACCTTAAGAAAATCTGCCTATTATATTTCATTTACATGATTACAAATTAATTTAGAAGAAATAAAGGAGAAAATGGTGGCAAAATAACCTCAACTTGTAAAAGTACGAGACAAGAAGACACGCTAGTAAATTGTAGTACAAGATGGACCACGTTTTTTAAGGCTAATCTAAATGGTGCTTGGAGCAGTCCTGCTTCTCCCTTTACTCCCATCTCTGCAGTGTTCTAGAAAATATTTGTGCCATACTCGCACACTCCCATTTTATTTTGCGCTAGAGCTATTAGCTAATCATATTATATCTTCTGCACATGGAAGTCACGTAACCTATGTTATATATCTAGTTCATCAGGATTGAATCTTGGTTTAAACAAAGAAGACATTAAGGTTATTTCATTATATGAATTTTCTCTTCACTTAACCATATCAAATCTACAAAAAAAAGGTCAAGATAAAATGAAAAGCTAACACTTTTTTCTTGCAGAGTAAAGAAAAGCAAACACTTTGAAGTGCTCCATATGTTATACGGTATTATCAACCTCATTCAAAACAAAAATGTAATTGAACAGAAAGCAGCAAGAAAGATTCAAAAAAATTGCAATCCCACCTTGTTATCAAAGAAGATACCATGACCTTTATAAGCACTATGCTCTGCTTTACAACGTTCAATCAGCCCAGAGCTACAGTACTTCTTCAGTGTTTCAACATCTCCCTGTATATACAATTAAAAACTGATTCATATATCATAAATGCACCTGTCAGGACAACGACTAGATTTAGGACAAAACTTGGTGCTAGTGTTTTATCCCTTGCTATCAGGTTTTGCACTTAACAAGTGACACTGGTAACATCTTTTAACAACTCATCATTAGCCAACTCCTTCTGCTTCATTACACAACTTCTCCAGCATCAACTGATTATTGCAACTGCACTCCTCAAATCTATGAATCCAAATCCTCAAACTATCATTTCATGATAATGGATCCCCCACATCTAAACAGCATCCGACCACTTTCTTCTCTCGGGCTATATTTGATATCAATACTTCCCTTCTTTTTACTCAAATCATTCTCACCAAGCATAGCATTAAATCCAAAAGAATTAACATACAATTGTTTTTTCCTTGCAAAATGATTACTAACAAAAAAGTGCACCCATCTAATGATTGATGATTTATGTCACAATTGAGTAAATCAAACATATTAATTACAATATAGAGTAAAGTACCTTTTGGGTCCTCAACAAAAATCACGGGGCCCATTTTAATCTCTTAGAAAAAAAAAAAGTCAACTTGTGGTCCCTTTGAAATTCAAAATAGACTCAGTTAGTCGAAATCATAATCTCTCTGAAATTCAAAGAAGACCCATGTTAGTCCATCAAAAAGACTAACATGGGTCTATTTTGAATTTCAGAAGGACCACGAGTCGACTTTTTTTTTCTAAGGGATTAAATTGGGTCCCGTGATATTTGTTGAGGACCCAAAAGGTACTTTACTCTAAAATATATATATATATATAGAGTAAATACCGTTTTTGGTCCTTAGCAAATTCCACGACGCCCGTTTTAGTCCCTAGCAAATAAAAAGCCCATTGTGGTCCCTAAGAAATTCAAAATGGACCCATTTAGTTGAAATCGTGGTCCTTCACAAATTCAAAAAAGACCCATATTAGTCCCTAAAAGGACTAAAATGGGTCCATTTTAAATTTCTTAGGGACCACTATGGGCCTTTTTATTTGCTAGGGACTAAAGCGGGCATGGTGAAATTTGCTGAGGACCAAAAAGGGTATTTACTCATATATATATATATATATATATATATATATATATATATATATATATATATTGCACACTTATTTATAATCTATGACTTAGATCTCAAACTTCAATACCATATTTGTTGCTACAACCTATGCCCAATAACACAAATTATCATTGTCATCCAGTTGTCCCTCTCTTATTTGGGAGGGTAAAGATTTATCATTTGGTTTGGGACGAAAATATTCATGTCAGTTATGTCAAAATTTGTTTTAAAAGAAAGATAGAATGCAAATTGCTAAGGGATCAACTACCTATGAGAAGTGAAAATGAAACAAGAAAAGGAAATAGGTGAAGCAGTATGCCTAAGTTCTGTCCAAAGATTGATATCTTGTTCAAAAAGGAACGATGATACAAATGCACATAAAAGAGAACACAGTTTTAGCATTCCTGCTCAAGCTTAGCACTAACCTTGATGTAAGCATTAAGCACTGGTTTTATTGCCTCCTGCACTTCCGCCACAAATTCTGGTAACGAGAAATAACTGCGCATGTAATCAAAATAAAAGAAAAAAGATGTTAGCATGTAAAATAATAAAAAATGTTAAGACTACTATAAAAACAAAGGGCATTAGAGCCTACGGATCCCGTTGACGTATTTCTTTGTATGAAATTGCAGCATCTGTCTCTTGAAACATGCTCTCATTGATACTGTAGAAGAAGTGTGGTAAATTAGCACTTAAATTTGCATAATATATTACTACGATTTAGACAATAACCAGACAAATACTACAGTGGTAATTCTAAGTACAAGGAAAGTGAAGAGAATCTCAGGGACATACTCCTGTATTTTGTGAATAATGGGGTTGTCACTGGTCTCGTATCTTTCCCGCAAGTCCTCTACTATCTGTCAATTTCATTAGATATGTAAATACCAAGCCACAAAAAGGTGACTTGGAAGTTAAATGTGGATTGTATTCTCTCTATCCATGATCATGAATAATCATGAAGGAGACTGATGTTTTAGTTCCTTGTCATGTGTACAAATTACCTCCTAAGAGTTTTTGATAAAAACTTCTTACATACTATTAGGAATAAAATTGATTCAAATTTGAACAAAAATATTAAGGGTTTTTTTTTATGAATGCAGGAGAGGCAAGCAGCAGAATAAATAATTATTGAAAAATAACTATTTTAGGAGAATAATGAACCTCTGGAGTAGAACATACCTCCTGACTCTTTGTCTTCACTGGGTCACTATACTTAATGAATCGCTTGGATGCAGGATGGCCTTTCACCTAGATGAAAATGTAGAGAAGATAACTTAATGGAGAGGTTTGTAGACTATCCAATTACAAAGGAACTGCAACTAAGTTACCTTCTCCCTGAACTCATCAAATTTCTTACTCCACCAAGATTGTTTAGAGGGCACAACAACAAGTTCTGTTCTTGTACTTGTTTCACCACTTGATGTGAAAGGAATACGCCTTCTCTTAGTTGGATTACTACTTAACTCCTCTTTTACTATGTCATAACCTTTCTTGGCTACGTTAACTAACTTTGCATCCCTTAATTTTTCAAACGCAGCAGAAACATTTGGAGAGGAAATGGTTGACTTAAATTTGCCAAACAATGAATCTGCAGCATTACTAGACCCAAATTGCTGGTTTTGCTCTTCCTCAGGTGATGTCTTACTTCCTTGCTTTGCATCAGCACCCTGTTTGGTTGAAGAATCAGTTGATCCTGAAGAATCCTGCTTTCCTATCCCAAAAGTTTCTTTCACCTAATTTACACATGAGTAATAGTAATATCGATAAGCCATCAACTTTCAATCACATTTACTGGTGGATATGTAAATCATGAACATACCTCCTCAGTTGCAGCAGAAATCTTCTCTTTTACATTGTAAGATACCTGCAAAAAGTATAATTACTAATCAATTCCAGGCAACATGTCAGCTTAATCAAATAGATAAAGAAGGGGATCCCAAGTTCCCAATTACAAGTTCAATAATAATTGCAATGTGGAAGAATCAAAAGCATTGCATAAACAAACAAGGAAAGAAAAGAACATAAAAGAAATCTAAGGCATACAGCTCTTTACCCAACAAAAAAAAAAAAAAAAAAAAACTTTTTAACCATTAAATTTGCATCTAGATCAGTGTAAGGTCCCGTTAGACTTTTCTACACAATTATACATGCTATCCAATGGCTTTGCACACTAGTTGTGCTTTGTTATATACCCCCAAGATGTTTATCTAGCTTCAGAAGGGAGATTTTTTTTTATTCTATCTGATAACTAATTTCCATTACTAATCCAGAGCAGGACTTGAAGATGACCTTTGATTATACCTTCTTTGCAGCAGCTTCAGCTTCTGTCCACACTTCATCCACCTGTTTGTACAGCTTCTCAGTTTTCTGCTTTGTTCTGCATTCGCCATTTAACCATCTCAGGCCCTCCAATGAAGTGTCGAGCCAGCCTTGACATACAATAGTATGTCTCAGCCTATTAATCAATAACATAAAAGTTTAACGTTACATTACGGTCACTACAATACAAGACTTACTTTTCTTTCAGCTCTTCTTTTACCCCTTTCAGCTCAACTGCTTTTTCCTTCAGCTCCTTGACAGACTGTTGGAATTCTGGGTTTCTACAACCATCAAAGACATGAAATAAATAGAGACAGAAACACCCATACATGGAAGGAAAAAAACCTTGGATAGAATCAACAGAACATCATACACAAGGCCATGACAAGCATAAACAAGTATTCAAAGCTGAAGTTTTGTCATCTCCAAATATGAAAGATTAGGTCTATTCTTTCAATTTGTGGCAGGAAGGCGTTCTATAAACCTATTCTTCATAACTCAATTGAAGGGTGGTGATAACAAGCACTAAGAAGGAAATAAATAGAAGAAATTGATTATGTATGTATCATAAGAAAAAGTGAACAATACCATTTCCTATTATGCATAATCATAATTCAATTTGCTTAAAGTACAGAAAATATCTCAAGAACATAATATATCTCTTGTAGTATTTTATATATATAATTATATATAACCACTCCCCGTTAAATCCTGATTAACGAGGGTAGGGATGAGGGCAATCCTTGTACGTAGCCTTACCAAATACGACATTGAATTCCCAAATGCCTTGCCAATAGATTGTATTACTTGTGTGGCATGAAAAATTAAATTATATATTATATTAAGAAGAAAAGTAAGGCTTTGTATTGTAAATTGCATTATGAGAATTCTCCAAACAAGGAAAAGGAGGCATGCTTTAGGGGAAAAAAGGGGAGGTCTAGCAACCTAGTAAGAAGAGAGAGAGATGTAATCTAGGTTCATAATCATGTTATATCTGAATTAAATAGCTATCATGGGAGCTAGAACTTCATTGGTTGACACCCAAACAATAGTTGTTGCTCCAGGGACTTGATTCGGCACTCTAACATGAAATATTAGATGTAAAATCTGTTGCTCTCCCACATAGTACCCCTGTGGCACTTGGCAGCATAAGAAGTTTTCATCATCCCAAACCATGCCGCACTAATCATTGAGGCTAATAGTACAAGATGGAGAGAGAGAGAGAGAGACCACAATTCACACACTCTAATTCCTGCTAACCTGAGAAACACTAAGAAAGGGAGAAAGCAAGAAACTGGACCAGAAAAGGAATTTTGAAGTCCTGGTCCAGCTTCCATTCACCATTGAGGTAGGAAACCTAGACCATTTCTCAATTTTCCACTCTAAAAGCTTGGCTGTGAACTTTTTTTTCTAAAAAGTTTGATATTTTCCTTAAAAGGTTCTTCATCTTGTGTGTTAATTCATGTTCACATGTTATAAAAATCTGTTAAGATTTTAATATATATATATATATATACATATTTTTTTTTTTGACAGACTCTACTTCTGTCTTCTGTGTACCACAGATTTGTTTCAATTCCTCTACTTATGTTTCATGTTATACTCTTGTCAAATAGCCCAGTGAAATTTCTTGATACTAACGGTCCGGATTTCCTAAGATTTTAATGTTTTCTGTGTTTATATACTAAGGGCCTGTTTGGAGCACCTGATAAAGTAGATAGGATAGGATAACTTATCATATCCTACTTTTATCTCTTGTTTGGTGGGTCAATAGGATATAATTAGCTTATCCTATTGTCTCATTTTATCCTATCCAATACATGATTTCTTATCCTATGGGGGGAGCTGGGTTAGGATTCAACAAGATAGGATACCAATATTGAATACCCAATATATCCCCACGCTACCCAATATATTTATATTTATTGCATTATATTTTGTTTTTTCTTTCTCCTTTCTCCTTCTACATAATCTTATCAGATTGCTAATCAGGTGCTCATCAAACACAGGACATGATATAGGCTTATCAGCCCCATATCATATCCTACCCTTATCAGTCCCATATCATATCCTACCTTTATCCTGTTGAGATATATAAAATCATTAATGTAACCTCACCCAATAGCTTAAGCTTTTGGGTTGAATTGGTTCTTTACATGGTATCAGAGCCTCGTGTCCCGGGTTCGATCCTCGCTGCCCCCCACTTTCTTTCAAGTGGAATTTCTTTCTTCGCACAGGTAGGTGGGCCTGTGCATTGTCCACCCTTCAAGCCCAGTGGGCTCTCGTGTGAGGGGGCGTGTTGAGATATATAAAATCATTAATGTAACCTCACCCAATAGCTTAAGCTTTTGAGTTGAATTGGTTCTTTACATATCCTATCTTGTCCATCAAACGAGCCCTAAATATTGTTCTGGATGTGATATCTGTTCGAGTTTTCTGGTTTTGCTTGGCTGGTGGACCTTGAAGTCCAAAGCATGTCATTTATTGTCTTGGAGCAGTCTATGATGCAGGTGCACAAAGTAAGAATTCAAGCAATATAACTTTATGGTTCTATTTTGTGTACTCCATTAAACATGAAGACAAAATGTCCAGGTTATGTTTTCTTTTAAATCAAGATGCATGGTCCAAAGCATGAGATTTTTATTGGTTCAGTTTCGAATCTGCTTGGTTCTGTTTACTGTCCCCGAATTTTTGGGAAGAACCTGTGAAATACAGTTATTTAAGGTTCAAATTTTCTGAATTATGTTGCTTGAACCCACAAATTATGGTACTCAAATTATAACTTTGTTAGTCCGATAAAAAGCTTAATTCGATGAATGAACAAGGACTTATGATTAGCTCTCCAAAAACTTTGATTTTCTTGCTGGTTTGTTGAGACCCATCAAAAGAGATTCTTGCCTTGTTAGATTCAAGAAAATATCCAAATTAATCTCTTCCTTATTTTTTTGAGAAAATCTAATTCGAATATTTGGTGAATACATGCAAATGCATGTAGAGTAGGGTGATTAAATCCTAGGAATTCAACCCCTAGATACTGACAAGTAATTCCACTGCCGATGTTAGAACCGAGATGATTTTACTGATGTATGTATGAATTGTCGTATTAACTTATGATATGAAGAACTTTACACTCTAATTAGAGCAAGGAATGAGGTATCTTCATAAGTTTATTTATGTGCCCTAAACTTCATACTATCTATTGAGATCTAAGTGTACTCACTAGTGACCATGCCACAGCTCTTAATTGGTTCACTTGATACCTCTTTTAAGTCATATATAAGTGCTGTCCAATGCAGGTGCAGGATATTGTACCTAACTTCCATACCAAATTTAATTTAGTTAAACACTTATATTATTTATGAAATTTTACATACATAATCCTCAACATCAACATCACCAATTCATATCAAGATACTTTTCTTATGTACAAACTACAAACAAAAAAAAAACTTCTCTTCAAAATTACATGGCCTAATGAGATCATTTGATCCATCAACAATGTTCATACAAATTTACTAATCTTACTGTTAGAACACGGCTATATTCTGCAGTAACTAACTTAATGACTTTGCTAGGAGCTCAGAAATAATGTAAAAATTTTAAAATTTTCACTGTAATAAGTCTTATGTCTTTTTTTTTTCAAAATGAAACAAGTCTCATGAAAGTTAAGCTTATATAAACAAATGAAAACTTGTACTGCACCATATATCTACAATTTCTTGAAATTTTAACCTAAAGTACCCCCCATTTCTTAGCTTTCTCGTAGGATCAGGATTAATAACATAGGGTGCCAGAATAATTTATATTTTCTTAAAGAGAGTAAAACATTAAAAATTTGTAAAGGCAATAATAATTAATAAGCAGAGAGAGAGAGAGAGAGAGAAATACCTAACTGCTTCGCCTTTAATCTTCTTAGAGAACTCATTGAAGACACTATATCTAGCAACACTCGTACACCTATTCCCCGAAACCAAAGACAACCTCGTAGTCCTCCAACCCTGTCGTGTCGCAATATATAAACAAAATAAGAGACAAATTTTCAGTTTAAAAAAAAAAAAGAAAAAAAGAAAAAGAAAATAAAAGAGATGAGAAGAGAGAAGAGAGGAACCTGGTGAGATGTTGAGGGAAGAAAAAGAGATCGCTTCGACAGTAAAAAATCACGAATCAGCTTTCTGGCTGCCATTTGGAATTGAATTGAATAAGGTAAGGGTTATTGGCTTTCTGTTTGTTTAATTTTTGTATTTGTAATTAAGTCTTCCAAGTGTTGCTGTGCTTGAGGAACAAGAAAAGAAGATTCTAGAAACAAAATGAGAATGTATGAGATAGTGGCAAATGAAAGGAGTGCCACAAAACAGTTCCTGATATTCTCTTTCTTCTTCAAGTTTCAATCTCAAGCTGCAAATCACCACCTATTGAGCTTACGAAAGGGAATCCACCCTTTTTTTTCCTTTTCACATGCACGAGCTTGTGTTAATTGGCACAGTATCGGGTTTGCATTTTGCGGTTTTGGGTTAGGGTTCCTCAGAACCCGCACTCACCAAGTTCAATCAGCCCAAGCCCAAGTTGTATTTTACTCAACGCTTTGTCCTGTATTTATTATTATATTAATAAATATAATTATAAATAATCAATATATAGTATTATTACTAATACATATTTAATAATAACATTGACATTAAACATTTAAACCTGAAACAATAGTTAATATAATTTAATGTATTTTTTAAAGTGATGTTATAAAATATTTCTTCAAATATTAAATTAAATTTTGTATATTAGATAATTATTATTATTTCTTTCTATTGTTTTCGTTCTACATTTTTTATGTAATATTTATATATTAGAATTTTTTTTAGGTAACATATTGTTTCTTGTTTCAAATATTACATATTTGGGATGAATCTTATTTACATACATATCTTGACATTATAATAATTTTTTACCACAATTTTATTTTCACCCTACATTTTTAAATTTCTTTGTTAAATTATAAAATATTATCTGTGGAATTAATTTTAATTATAAGCTCAAACTTTTGCCAATGTTATTATTAACTTATTTATAAATTGGTATACCAGTTAGAATAAATAGATGATGCTGCCTTTACCAAAAAAAAAATAGATGATGTTAAAAAGTTAGATTTAGGGTGTGCATCACAATCATTCTGTTCTTTGCATTGTTTCTGAAAAGAAATAATTCTTTTCTATTTCTGTGCCTTGGAACAGTTTCTAAGAACAAAAATGTGTTTGATAACATGTTCTATTTTATTCTGAGAATGAGAATTGCATTTGATAACACAAAATAATATAATAAAAAATAATTCCTATTAAGCATAATTTTTTTTTCAGATTATCACTTTCCTTTCCATATGGTGTGGTGTGGTGGCGGCGGTAATGATAGCAATAATGGCGATGGTGGTGGCAGCGGCAGTGGTGGTAGAGTGATGGTAGTGGTAGGGACGGTAGTGGTTGCAATGATGGTCGTGATAATGGTGACAACATAGTGGTGGTGGTAATGGTGGCAGTGGTGGCGATGGCGATGGCGATGGTGGTGATGGCAGTGGCTGCAAAGATGGTGGTGGTGGTGGTGATGACAGTGGTTGCGGCAATGGTGGTGGTAGTTGGTGACAGTGGTGGTGGTGATGGCAGAGGTTGCGACAGTGATTGTGGTAATGGCAGTGATGGTGGTAATGGAAGTGGTTGCGACGATGGTAGTGATGGTTAGTGACGGTGGTGGAAGTGGTGGCGCCGTGGTGGTGGCAATGGCGATAGTGGTGGTGGTGGTGGTAATGGTGATGGTAGTGGTTGCGGCAATAGTGGTGGTGGTTGGTGATGGTGGTGGTGGCATGATGGTGATAGTAATTGCAGTGGTTGCGGCGATGACAATGATGAAAGTGGTGGCATTGTGGTGGTGGCAATGACGTGGTGATGGCAATAGTGGTGGTGGTGGTGGTGGTGGCGGTGGCGACGATGGTGATGGTGGTGATGGGTGGAGGTGGTGGCGATGATATCCTGGTGGTGGTGATGATGGTGGTGGTGTCGTCGTCGTTGTGGTGGTGGTGACGATGACATTGGTGGTACAACGACGATGGCGGATGATGGTCGTGTCAAGATGATGGTGGTGATGATAATGATAGTGGTAGAGAGTAATTGAGAGAAATAAGTGTTTCTCATTTTGTGCCCGGGAACAAAAAAAGCAGAAATTTTTTGTTTCATTTTTCTGTTCTCCAGCACAAAAATTAAATCCGTTCATCTCGGGAACAAAAAAATAAATCGATTTTATCAAACGATTTTTCTATCCATTTCTGCTCCCGGGAACAGAAATTAAAAAAAAAAATTGATTTCGGAAAAGTTGTCATGCATACCTTTAAAATCCCCACCAATATATCAAAAAAATGTTAAATTTAAAATTCATTGTGCTTTATTAATTTTATTAATATTTTTTACGTTGTATGGAGCCTAATTGCGGAGTAAAAAAAATCAATCAATACCAAAAGACCCAACTAAATAAAATCCAACTAGTATCACTATTATATTATTTTTAAAATCTTAACCAATATCAAGACCATATCATTAATTTTAAAGAAAATATATAGTATTTTTTAAATCAGCTATTGCCAAATGCCATGCAATCTTTATTTTTCTTTTTTCTTTTCTCTTTATATAAATCTCTATACTTTTACATATACATATAGGGAAGGATCCGTTTACAAAATTTTTTTACAAATTTTGTAAAATTACATTATCTTCTCCCGGGAGAACATAGTGTAACTAGTGTTCTCCCGGGAGAAGATAATGTAGTTTGTAAGAGTTTGTAAACAAAAAAGTTTATAAATATAACCTGCCTCATACATAATAGATAAAATTATCTACAGAAACATTCATCCCTATGAAAAAAATATTTGTTTTTTTAAATGATATAACTTGTATTATTTCACTCTCACGAACAAAAAGGTGTGACCCACATCTTTATTTTATTTTTTTTGTCCATTTTCTCTCCTATAATCTATCTCTTGCACTCACTTGAAATGATATAACTTTACATCCTTTAAAATTAACATCCTCTTCCCTAATTTTATTGGGGTAGGATATTGTAACAACCAATTAGTCTTATACCAATGTTACTTCCAATCAATTTCACCATTAGATTCTACCACTGTTATTACCAATCAATTTCATCGTTAGATCGATTATATTAATCCAACGGTTATATTTATTTCGGTCTTTATATGGTTATGATTTCTCATATTTAATGTTTTCACATTAAATATGAGAAATCATAACCATACAAAGATGAAAATAAATATAAAGTATTAAATATGGGAAATGGTAACCATAAAAAGTTAGAAATAAATATAACCGTTTAAAATAATTGATCTAACGATAAAATTAATTTTCTTCCCAATTATATTATACTTTTTTTTTTGGGTACAAATACAGGCATAGCCACTATCCTTGGTTTTAACTTCTGAAATATTCGAAGTTCTAACTTGCAAATGATGTTATTTACCCTTTCCACTGCATGGATTCCCAGAGCAGTACGAGTGTGCATGACAATCATTCTGTTCCCTGGCACTGTTTCTGAAAAGAAACAATTTTTTTCTATTTCTGTGTCTTGGAACAGTTTCGGAGAAATAAAATGTGTTTGATAACATGTTCTATTTTTATTCTGAGAATGCGAATTGCGTTTGATAACATAATAAATAATATAATAAAATATAATTCCTGTCAAGCATAAATTTTTTTCGTATTACACTTTCTTTTCCATATGGTGTGGTGGTGGCGGCGGCAGTGGCAGCGTGGTGGTGGTAATAGTGGTGGTGGTGGCGGTGGCGGGGGCGACGACGGTAGTGGTGGTGGTAATGCCATGGTGTTGATGGAGACAGCAGTGGCTGCGACAACGGTAGGGGTAGTTGGTGGCGGTGGCGGTGGTAATGGTGGCGATGGTGACGGCAGTGGCTGCGATGATGGTGGCAGTTGTTGGTGACGTGGCGGTGCATGGTGGTAGTGGTGACGACAGTGGCTGCGACGATGGTGGTGTCGACGGCGGCGGTGGTAATGATATGGTGGTGCTGGAGACAGCAATGATTGTGATGATGATGGTGGTAATTGGTGGCGGTGGTAATGGTGGTCGCGATGACGGCAGTGGCTGCAATGATAGTGGTGGTAGTTGGTGGTGGTGGTGACGACAGTGGCTACGAGCCTACGACAATGGTGGTGTCGACAACGGCAGTGGTGGTAATGATATGGTGGTGCTGGAGACAGCAATGATTGCGACGACGATGATGGTAGTTGGTGATGGTGGTAATGGTGGTGGTGGTGGTGGTGACGGCAATGACTGCGATGATGGTGGTGACGGCAATGACTGCGATGATGGTATGGTGGCGGTGGTGACGACAGTGGTTGTGGAGATGGTGGCGGCGACGGCGGTGATAATGACATAATAGTGGTGTCGGTGGCTGCGACGACGGTGGCGGTGGTGACGACTGTGGCTACGACGATGGTGGTTGTTGGTGGCGGCAGTGGCATGGTGGTGATGGTGACGACAGTGCCTGCAGCAATAACGGCGATGGCGGTGGCAGTAGTGATGGCGATGGTGGTAGTGGTGACGACAGTGGCTGTGGTGATGGGGGTGGTAGCGGCGGTGGTAATAATGACATGGTGGTGGTGGTGGTGGCGGTGGCTGCGACGACGGTGGTGGTAGTTGGTGGCGATGGGAGTAGTGGCGGCGATGGCATGGTGGTGATGGTGACGGCAATGGCTACATCAATAGTGGCAGTGGTGGTGGTGGTGATGTGGCGATGGGTGGAGGTGGTGGTGATTGTGATGGTGGCGGTGGAATCATGGTGGTTGTGACAACGACATTGGTGGTACGACGACAATTGTAATGGTGGTCGTGTTGAGATAATGGTGATGGTGGAGAGTAATTGAGATAGACAAGTGTTTCTCATTTTGTGACGGGAAACGAAAAACAGAAAAAAATTTATTCTTTTTTCTGTTATCTAGCACAAAATTTAAATCGGTTCATCACGGGAAAATAAAATAAACCGATTTTATCACACAAGTTTCCTATCCATTTTTGTCCCACATAACAGAAATTTAAAAAGAATTGATTCCGTGAAGGTTGTCGTGTACACCTTAGAACGTAATCCATTTCTCTTTATCAAGTAACAAATAACTTCACCCTCTTCATCGATTTCTTTACCTTTCAGCAGAGCAACAATCACAACAACTTCAACAACGAAAGCTTCGTTATCATCAGCAACAGATATGGTTAAAGCTATCAGAGTTCATGATCTTGGTGGCCCTCAGGTTAGGTCCCTTTCACTTTCACTTTCACTTTCTGCTTCTCACTCACGTGCCCTTTGATTATTCTTTCTCATATATAACAAAAATGAAATGATTAATTGTTGTATTTGTGTGTGGCACGTGCTTCCCTTGCTTATTAAGTTTCTTTGTAATGGAATTGATGACAGGTTCTGAAGTGGGAGGATGTGGAAATTGGAGAGCCAAAAGAAGGGGAGATTCGTGTGAGGAACAAAGCAATTGGGGTTAATTTTATTGATGTCTACTTTCGTAAAGGAGTTTATAAAGCACCCTCTTTACCCTTCACTCCAGGTTTCCTAATTTTTTTTACTTCTATAGGAAAGTTGAATTCTTGAGTCCAATTACTCCATGCAGCAATGTACTATGCATTATTTAGCTTTATCTAGATTGAATTGTTTGTAATTTCAGCATAGAACAGAATTTGGTTAGGGTGCATTTAACTTCTTCCTATATTTTGTTTCACAAGGACACTAATATTTCACACTCAACAATGTTTTTTGTTTGCATAGCAAGTGAAACACTTGAAAGGAGAATGCAAATATTTTTGGTATTCTGCACACACCATTGTTTTAAATTGCGGTTGTGGTCGGTAGGATCTATTTGCAGGATTGATCCTACCAGTTCTACACGTAAAGTTGTACAATGTTTAAGTGTTCAATTGCAATTTTAACAAACTTGATTCGTTGATATTCATATATATAATGTTCCTCTTTTGCTATTGGAGAAGTAAGTTTAATTTTTTTGAACTAAATTTTCTTGTTACATTAATGTGGTTATCAGCTAGATATATTTTATCTCCTAATGATTGTTATATATTGTATAAAAATATTGGAAGTTGTCTGTGTACTTTCAAATATAATGGTGAAGTTCAATATGAAACAATTGATGCATTTTTTAAGATGGGAGCTAGTAATAAGGAGAAAAATGTTATAGCTGTGATGTCTTTACCCTTTAAAAAGCCTAATTTTGATGCTCAAAGTCCAATAATTAACCGTGAGGATAACCAACCTTTAAAACAGGAAACCAATGTTTAAGATATTGCTTATCTGTCTTTTATTATTACTATTATTAAGTAGGGGGAAAAAGTACAAAAAGAAGGAACCGCCTCTTTGGCATAGAAACAGATAAGCATCCCTAATTTTGTGTATCTTTTTTTTACTTCAAATTGTTATCTGTATGTTGCTTGATTTAATAATTACCAAACTGAATTGAAGACTTGAACCCAGTAGCAGCATAACACTTTTGGGCTACTTTTATTTGACACACAAAATACTTACACAACCGGATTAGTGGGTCCATTAGGATTTCGGACAATGGTTGGTATCTACAAGATACTTATACAGCCAACCTGTTTGAAGTCACTGACTTTTATTTATCCTTTTATCTGGCTGGAGGAAAACACAGTGATTCTTAATTGCTTCTTATATTTGGAGCTCAAGAATTTCTTATCAACACATGCATTGATGATGACTGTAGTAACTTTTCATTGAAAGCTAAGTTGATGCCCAAGGGGTAATTTATTGAATTATTTTCCCCCTTTTAATGTGGCAGGTGTGGAGGCTGTTGGGGTTGTGACAGCTGTGGGCACTGGAGTAACTGATAGCCAGGTTGGAGATCTTGTAGGTTATGCAGGTCGTCCATTAGGCTCATATGCTGAAGAGCAGATTCTTCCTGCAAATAAAGTAGTCCCTGTCCCTCCCTCCATTGACCCAATTATTGGGGCATCCATCATGTCAAAGGGCATGACAACTCTTTTTTTGCTTCGACGTTGTTTCAAGGTAGGTGTCTATATTGTGTAGTCATTATAGCTGAGGGAGGCCTTTCTTGTATTACTTTTTTTTTTTTTTTTTTTTGAATACTAGTCTAGAAACCCACTTTCATACACTGGGGGAGATTCAGTACGGGCTCACTTTGAAAAAGATAAGTAAATAGTCACTTGTAAAAGGAGAAAGGAGGGGGATGCCAGTTCTCTGGCTTATGCCTTAACATAGATAGATTGATCTTCACGTGCACTCATGAGCACACAGCAGCTCAATGACCACAAAACAAGCTTTTTCTTGCTTATTATAACTATCTATAATGATCTAACCAGAACTTGCTAAGCACATGTTAAATATTAGTCAGTCCCAAAACAGTTTTAGCTGACATTATCTCTCTATTGCTTGTTTCTTGAATACTCAGATGCTATCTTTTGTTTTATAAGGTCAAGTTACTTATTCTGTTGTCCTTCCATCTCAATCTTTGTTTCCTCTTTCTCCTTGTAGTTTTGGTCTTGGATGTACATTCTCTGTGCAGGATATTTGACCTCAGCTCTCCAAGCTACACCCTCTCTCTCTTAAGTGTGTCTTGCTTGGTTACTCCTGTCATACAAAAAAATAAATAAATAAAATAGAAAAGATATTGGAGCTTGTCTCAGCTGTTATCATAGCATACTACAATATCTATTGATTAATGAGTCCATTCTTTATCCTAAAACCAACACTTTTCTCTTAATTTTACCCCAGCTTGATGATAAACATAGACTAGTTTACCTATCACTTTACAGGTTGAACCTGGTCACACGATTCTTGTACATGCAGCAGCTGGTGGAGTTGGATCCCTATTGTGCCAGTGGGCAAATACTCTTGGTGCTACTGTTATTGGAACTGTATCCAATAAAGTGAAGGCAGCTCAAGCCAAGGAGGATGGCTGCCATCATGTCATAATCTATACAGAGGAAGATTTTGTTGCCCGCGTCAACCAAATTACATCAGGCAATGGAGTTGAAGTAGTCTATGATTCCGTGGGAAAGGATACCTTTGAGGTAGTCCCTATTATATGCCATATTAAACCTAAATGGAATTTCAAAATCAGATGGTTCGGTACATGAGTGGCAAAATAAAATTATTTATATTGTCTTGCATGGTGGTATCCATCAGAAGCTGTTTATTTTCTGATTCTTAATGCACTCCTTCTGTTATGTGATAATTGAGTATCCAGAAATGCAAGTAGATTTATAGGTCAGTTGATCCTATGTTGACCATTACTTAAAACAAAACCATCAACAAACACCAACTAGATCCTAGATAATGAACTTTACATTAGTGCTTTTTGTTGTTCCTAATCTACAAATTAATTCCTAGACCCTTTTAAAGAACTAAAAAAGGGCAAATCCCAGCGCGCATGGCTTCCCAACTTACGAGAGTAGGGGTGAAGGTTGATTGTACACAGCCTTATCCTTGTATTTTTGTAAAGAGGCTGCTCCTCAAACTCAAACCCATAATCTTCCGATCACAAGAAATAATCTTACCTCTATTCCAAGGCTTGCCCTCAGAACCTTTTAGAGAACTCTAGATTAAATTCTTTTCTGATGTAGAAATGGATTTGTAGTGCTGCATCCAATTAGCATTGGTTTTCTCAATGAGTTTGCAGGACATGTGATGATGTGAAAGTTGATATTTGTATTTGTCAAGACTATTTACAATACTCATAATAATATTAATGGGTAAACCCTGAGGACAAGAATTGATAGGCTACAGATTTTAATCAGTAGGCTGAGGCCCTGAAGTTCAAGGATTACTGTCTGATTAATAAAATATAGAAGCATACTTAGCAACTTAACTCATTGATGATGACCAAACTGATATCTGCCTGATTAAAGCATTTTTTGTTAGAATGTGTGATTTGTTGGAATTTTTTAATTCCTCTAAACCTTATGGTGATAACTATCACCTACAAGCCAAGATCCATCATACCAAATCATAAAGAAAAATAAAAACAACATAAAGGTGGAGGCATACCTGTCTCCATTGCAGCGGAATAACTTTGATCTTGTCTCTTGGAGTTCGTAGTCTTCCTCAGTCAAATCACCCTAAAACCTTATTCCTTAGTGTGTCGTCTCTCTCTTGATGGGGAAGAGAAACTAGAGTTATTCATTTGACGTATTGGGGACCATAACCCTTTTTTATAGTGTTTTTATCTTTATTGTTGGGCCAATAAGCTCCCATTATACCTAGTTGGCCCAACACCGGTATCCACTCATTCAGCCCATACTCACTTAAGAATCTATTTGAGAATATTTAACTGATCACTTTAATTTACCCAATATATATAAATAGCACAATATAATTATTAATATAATATGTGACCCACAATAATTATTAGAAAATATAATTTCCTTACATGATTCAATTTTAAAAATCGAACCAGGGTTACTACACCAATTTCTGTGATGTTTCTATTCTATCATTTGAAAATTACTGTGATAGAAGTCGTTAACAAGGTATATGGAGTGATTTGTCCAGGGATCTTTGGCATGCTTGAAGCTTCGAGGCTACATGGTAAGTTTTGGGCAGTCATCAGGTACACCAGATCCAGTTCCATTATCTTCCCTGGCTGCAAAATCATTGTTCTTGACAAGGGCCACCCTAATGCTTTATAATGTCACTCCGGATGAACTATTGGAGGCTGCTGGAGAGATGTTTGCCAATGTTGCTTCTGGTGTCTTGAAGGTGCGTGTTAATCATACTTACCCATTGTCTGAGGCAGCTAAAGCACATGAAGACCTAGAGAATCGGAAGACCACAGGATCAATTGTGTTGATACCCTAAGGCTATCAGTTGAGTGAAGGTGTTAAACATCCAGTCCTTGTTTGAAAGGAACTATATGCTATTGTATGTTATTCACCATAAAGTCTTTGTCCTTGAAAATTGATTTTTCTGTTATCATGGTCAACTGGTCATGATATTCAGATATATGACTATGTTTTTGGTTAAATAGTATTCTTCTCATATTGTCTTGTTTCATACTTTACTAGTTGTTTTGTTGTCTTTTTTATGATTTTTTATAGGGTTTTATAAGAGTTATGTTGTAGGAAAAGTGATTGTGTAATGTTATAGAGATTCGTTTTGCGTGCCTTAATTTTTTATTTATTTTTTTGTTTTAAAAAGTGTCGGCCCGACAAAATGTTGTGAGAGTATGAAAGTTTGTTGTGTTATTTTAAAGGATAAAACGAAAACCCTTTTTTATATCCTCCTTTCATCTATGTAATTGTTTTTTCCCTGTACCACTATCTCAGTATACAAACTGGGACCTTAAAGTACACTCTCTTAATGTTTAGACTCAAGTGAAATTGTTTACATCACAGTTAACTTGGACTTGAGTTTCAACTTTCAAGTACATGCCATGGATTGTAAGTTAAATGACATGTTTCATGGCTGAGAAATTGAGCATCGTCAGAGAAATATTAAATTATTAATGTAGCTTTTAAGTTTTTGGTTGAATTAGTTCTTTACATGGTGTGAGAGCCTTGGTGTCACGGGTTAGATCTTCATCACTCTCCATTTTCTTTTGTGAAATTTTTTAGTACAGATATGTAGGCTTGTGCATTATCCATTCAACAATGGACTCGTGTGAGTATTAGAGAATATTATAAATCATTAAAAAACTTTCATTCACTGACTTAAACTTTAGGATTAAATCGGTTCTTTATAAGCATGATGCGTGGGAATAGATTTATAGAAATCATTGTGGATGCCCTCCAAGTCTTGATGGATATGGAATTGGAAAGTAGTCTTCACTTTGGGTAAGAGAGATTGGCACAAAACTAGCCTAAAAGATTCAACCACAATCCAACGAATAATGCATATCTCAATATGTCCATTTAATTTAACTTTCTTAAGAAATTTCATAATATTAATTAATTTATTAATAAAATAGAGTGATGAATTGAACTTATTGATTATTTGATCACAGAAACTTTATATCATATAAAGAATTCTTTTAACTCAAACATTTAAATTATTAAATGAATATTATATTAATAATTTTATATTAAATTTTTGTAACATACTTTAACATTTATTTATTTTTCACTCCTCGTTTCAAGAGAAAAAATCAATGTGAGAAGATTGAGACAAGGATAATTGGCAAGATGCTAACGGTGGCGTAGGAGTTTCGTGTGGAGCTCTCATGATCCAGCTTGGTAATAATTATCATTTTGGCTTTTCCCATTCTCAGAAAAGTTAGAAGCTTTGTTAATTTTGCTTACGTCCTTCTAACTGAATATTTTATTTTGCCTTTATTGGTTCAATTGCTTTTTATTCATATTATTTATTTTCATAGACTCGAGATAACTAGTTAACTTGCAATAATTTCAGTTAATTAGTTTTTTTTTTTTTTTTTTTTGAGTTTTCTTAAAATATTCTAAGTCAACCACCGGAGATTAATCCTTTCAAGGCATAATGATGACCGAAATAGGTTTTCTCTTTATATGATTCTATTAAAGGTACCACTTTTTAAGCATATGGAATGTTCTGTTTTATCTTTAAAACGATCCTGACCCAAATAAGAATCATATCTTATTTCTGTCTCGTTCTAACCCACTAAACATTATCATAATATTAATTATTCGCTTTATTTAAAGTTGAACTTTGTTAAAGGTGCATAAGGTTGAATTTATTCTTAAACTTTACTAGATTACATTACCATATATTTTAAACCAAACCATGGATAGATGCACTATTATATATGTTATTTACAAACAAGATCAATTTAGAAGAACTTTATCCTAGATATTTAAGCGGCTTCCAAGTTATGCTCTCAACTTTTTTATTTAATTAGGACTTTTTTGTTTATGATTAGAATCACATTTGCTGCTAAGGAAATCAAATTTCACTGTAATTTTGTGCAGTTTAGTTATGGTTATAGATTATCAAAATTAGTCTTACGATCAGTAAAGTTGATTGAAATTTTTTACTGTTTGAGTGAGTTAAATTAATTCAAAATTTGAGACTCGTAAAGTTTAATAAACATACATATATTCACATTTTAATAATAACTACTTTAATATCTAAATAAAATACATTTTTTTAATTTCTCTATTAATTTAATAATTATCCAAGTTAATCTTGTTCGAACATAATTAGACCTATACAAAAGTACCTCTCCAAAAAAAAAAATTATTTCCAATCTCATATTCGAGACCGAGCAAATTTTTTATAATATTACTTATCAGTTGAATCAATTATTATTTACATAGAATATATTCTTTAAACTTACTTTTAAAACATTAATCTTAAATATAAATTAATTATTTTAGAGGAAAGTTATATTTATAACATTTTGGCTTACGTTTTCTTATAATTAAATTTTAGTCGTTGATTTCTATCTATTTGAAGATTATAATTTATTGAGTCACATTTATTGATTAATTAATTTTTAATAAATTATAATTGTTAGATTAACAAAAATTAATTGTTAAGATTTAGTTTAAGAGTTTGTAAACGAAAAAATATCATACATACAACTTCTCTCGACATTTTAACTTTAATTTTGCAAAAATCTAAAACAAACATACAGTTAGTTATTATTAACAATAAATAATTAAAAATAGCAAAATGAGTTGAATTATATGGACTAACCCACCAACACAGACCAGGTTGGGACATGTTTCTCAACCTGTGACCCGATTTAACCCGCTACCTATAAGTAGAGGTGGCAAAGTGGGAAGCCTATTTCACCCTGTCACCAATCCGTCAAAAAATAAGAAGTCCATCTCGTCCTGCTTTTGAAAATGAGTTGAAAAATTTGGCCTGGTGTAACACCCCGTATATATCTGGTAATATTATCATACTATCGTATTAAGCTGCGCTTAATTAAAAATGCAAAATATCTTTTTCTTTTCAATTATGACGTCATTATCATTACCAACTTGCTTAATTAATCAATTAAATAAAATCATGCCTGTATGTAAATTGCAAAAGACATCTAACTGAAATACCTCATTAATTAAATAACGTAAGTATGTCTCTAGTCACGGAGCTACAACACGTAGACCGGACCAACTAGCAGTTTATACAACTCAGACTAAAGGTACTAACAATATAGTGGCATGGACAACTCTCATGCTCACCCAAATAAGGCAACAAAGCCCAATAGAAAGTCTCAACTCAAATCATAAAGAGCAGAAAACATAAACAACATCCAATCTAATCATGTCAGCAATACAGCATAAATATCATAATCAGCTAAGCTCTGGCCTCCTGCCGCCAGAGGCATCAGTCCCCATACTACCTGAACCTGAAATAAGCATTCTCCAAAGGTGGGGTGAGATCTCTAAACCAAAAATCTCAATAAGACAAGGGGTCCTCAAGGATCTTCCATCCCAAGCTCACTTACATGTGCAATATAAGTTTAAAAGCAGTTCATCAATATCATTTCTAAAATAGTGCAATGCAGCAGATAATCATGTCATGTGTGTCAATACTATTTTACTGGCCAGAGAAATGCAGGATTTATATACGTCTAATACCCACAAATAGTGCAAGATGCTACTTGCATCCACCCCGGATCACCGTATCGTATGACGCCACATACTCAGGCTAACCGTCAAGATGGAACAACACATGCATATTAAAAGCCATTACACATGAAGCTCAACAGCATTTCAAATATCCAAAGCATGTAACATAACATGCATATAACCATACCCCCATGGGACATGGTGGAACCACAACATGGCTAAACCGAGGACACGAAAGCTTACCTTGTAAACTAGCTATCCAAACCAAGAGTCCAATACAAGCTCACAGCCCAAACACCGCAGAATCACAATCTGATTTGAACCAACAATCATATCAATACAAAGCTCATAAGCATAAACATAAAGACAATGTTTCTCTTTTACGGTTTATGTCTTAAGGCTTCTCACCAAGCCATAAGCCCTTAACCCTTTGATTCTGACTTACATTAATTAATTACAGAAGTTCAACTTCCTCAAACTAGGGTCCACAAACCCATAGATCAGTTCTGGATGAACAGTACGCTACTGTTCCTCGCAAACCCAGAATATCCGAATATTTGTCGGGGACATATCTGGATATCCAATATCCGGATATCTCACTGAAAATATCAGGATATCCAATATCCGGATATCTCACTCGAAATATCAAGATATCCCATATCCGGATATCTCACTCGAAATATCAGGATATCCCATATCCGGATATCTCACTCGAAATATCAGGATATCCAATATCCGGAAATCTCACTCGAAATATCAGGATATCCAATATCCAGATATCTCACTGGAAATATCCGGATATTTCGCGACAGAATGCAGTTTTTACATTTCACGAAGATATCCTTCCAAGGTTCCATTTTTGTCACTTCCAAACGTCAAAGCATGCATTTTTAGGCACATTTAGGTTTACAAACCAGTTGGTTACTTGCTTAACCCATCAAATATACCAAGACATCAACTTTAACCCATTAAACTCATGAACAAGGTTGGTACAACTTACCAAAAGCTTAAACTCAGAAAAAAGGGGTATCCTTGGAGCTCACTACCAACTCCAAAGGTTCTGACTTTAAGGGTGCACGAAAATGCCACCCAAGTAAGGATCTTTCTTCACAAAGATTGCTCCTTGGAGCTCCAACAACCCAAGGAAGCACTCCCACACCAACCAACACAGAAACAGTCCCTCTCCCTCACAGACACAGCCATCTCAAACTCAGAAAAGGCACCTAAAGCACTCACCTATGCTCACACTCAAGTGTTTACTTGATCAAGAAGAGAAACAATGATCAAAGATGGTGTCTTTGGTGAGACAATGAAGGAGAAAGCCTTAGGACCAAGTGGGGAAGGAGGCAGCAACCCAAGGCACAAAAACTCACGTAGAGTGGCTGAAGAATCAGCCTAGGGTTTAGTGCCAAGCACTATATATAGGCAGTTAAGTCACTAACACAAAATATTAACTTTAATTGCTATGCTTAGCATTTTAATCCCAAATTCAGGATTCTTAACCTACTCAATTTTACAAGAATTATCATATTTTTCTTATATTTTTCGGAGCACCTTTCCGGTACACGCTTTTCATAGCCAGTACCAGTTTCTGGCACCAGCTCTCATTATTTTAACTTGAAACTCGTTTTACAAGTCCTACATGTTATTCTAGTAATTATCATGTACTTATTATAATTTTTAGGGATACTTTTCAATACGCATTTATACTGACTAGCAGAACCAGTATCTGCACTTTTCGTCAGAAAAGCGACTCAGCATTATTACTCACTTACTATAATTATTAGAGCCTCATAATAATTATTAGGGTCAATTATGAAATTATCTCATTAAACTCATAATTAACTGATTAATTTCCTTAATTAACGGTGCGAGTTCTTACACCTGGCCCGCCCCGTCCCGCCCTATTTGGCAGGTTGGTCCGTCACCCAAAGCCTATTTTACACTGACGCACCTTGGCCCATCTATGTCTGTCATCAACCTACCAAAAAATAAGCCTGCTCCGCTCCGCTTTTGAGATGGGTTGAAAAACTCAGCCTACCTTGTCCCGCTTTTGAGATGGGTTGATAAAGTTATGTCATTGTAAGAGAGAAATAGAGACATAATAATTTTTTTATTTAAAATTTAAATTAAAAAAAATCACTCACTTTCTCTCTCATGATTTCCATTTTTTTGTGTCTATCTCTTTCTTAACATGACATAACTTATATCATTTAAAATGACAAATATCAAAACCTAAAATTACTTATTTTTTCGATCTTTTCCGATTGGATTTTATTAATCTCATGTCAGAGGAGATAAAGTTATCTCATGTGATAGAGATAAACTTTTTAACATCTGAAAAAGAAAAGTAGCATTATCATCGTCAAAATATGTGTAGAGGAGAAAATTATATACGTAAACCTAAAGACAGAAAGAGTAGCATTGATCCGAAACTCCACCGTCTCAAGTAGCATTGATTTTTTTTCTTTTCTTATCTATAAGAACACTGCTGTACGCGATTTTCACCATTGCTCGCTCTGAGGTTTGTCGTTTTGTTTAGGTTCTTTGCTTTTGGCTATCCTTTACTACATGCTACTTGTTAGGATTTTAATGTTAAGAAAGCAAAATCACCTCGTTTAGTGAACCTACTTGACTCCAGGCGAGAGATCAAGCAGCGGTGGCGATTCACCCAGGTAAGTAACTTTCACAGTTATTCTTCCAATTTCTTTTCTTTTGAATTTTTTTATTTTTATTTTTAAATTTTTTTGAATCTGAACTGAACGATGAAATGACTGAAACGTGTAATGCTCTGTTTATGTTAATGGCTTGAATGGATCTATCTCTGTTACTTTTATTCTTTCTGTTCTGTGGTGATTTTATTTGATTGCCCATAAACTACTCGATTAAATGTCGATCTTATGTATGTACCGAACTTTCCCATTCTTTTTTCCTTAAAAATAAAAGAACTTGTGGGTCTGGGTGGGGACTTTAAACTTTGATTCTAATCACTCTAATTTTGTTGTTGGTTATAGTTTACACTAATCATTCTAATCACTCTACTCACAGTTTACTCCCTTGATAGTATAGCTAATGGTCAGGAATAATGTCACGAATCTTCTTGACGAGTTTGATAAAGTCAGCACTATGATTTCTGGTTTTTGTGAAGATTGTAGAGAAACTGAATAAGATTAATACCAGGAATAGAGATATTGTGGTTTGTCATTCATAGTGAGATCAACGAGAACAGATCTTTGGTGACAAATTGTGTCAAACTAGGAAGCACGGATACATACATGGACATGGATTTGTACCACATCCATATGTGGATATGACACATTCTAAAAATTATTAATGATAATTGATAATCAGACGAGTTGAAAGTATTCCAATAGAAGCTTCATATATCTTATTGGAAGTCATCTATTAATAAATTATAAGTATTCAAATAGAAGCTTCATTTACCATTTATTAATTTATATTAGTACAGATTATTTGTCCTGACTGTTTTCAAAGCATTAAACAACATTGAATCTGAAGAATATATATCTTGGACTTCTAAAATACTCTTGCCTTTTATACTGTTAATATTTTTGGTAGCTGAAATCCATGTTCCATATATGCAAGACTCTACTTGCTGTGATGTATGTGGTTTCTGCCTTGAGTGAGCAATTTTTTCTGTCATGTTTTAGCAAATCTCTGGGTGAAAATTATTGGTCTTCGTATTTCCACCAAGCTTCTATTGGAACTCATCTTACTTATCATTTATTATTAGATTATTGGTCATCTGATTATCTTACAATTTATTAGATGAGTTGAAAATATTCCAATAGTACTGCAAATGCTCATCTATTGGAACTCATCTTACTTATCATTTAAAATAAACCCAACACTGTTGAAAATATTCATATATCTTATTATGTTACTACATTTCAGGTCTATCATCTTATTGATGTTGCAAATGGAAGTGAAATTCCAAAGTTAACCTCTGGCTTAGATAGTAAACTGCTTTAGGTCCACGCTCCTTTGTCACCATCAGTGTAGCTTTTCTCTCACTAACGTGCTACCGCCTCTTCTCTTTCGGCACCGCTCATCATTTTCCGGTTATTCTTATTCATCTCAATTTTAGATCTAGCATTACCGTCGCACTTCACCTATATGCTATGTTTATATTTATATTTATTGTTATTACTATTTGTGTTTATTGGAAATCTATTTTTTTAAAACAGAAACAACAATCTCAGTTCTTAGCTTTTATGTTAATCCCTTTTTACACTCTGCTTTTTTAGATTAGAGATTCAATTATTTAGTTAATCTGCAGCAAAAAAATGTTCAAGGTTCCAAAACACCAAGTTGCAGGACATCAAGCCAAAGATGGTAGACTAGGCCCTCTAATAGATGATTCTGGAAAGTTCTACAAGCCTCTACAAAGTGATGAACGCGGTTCCAATGAAGTTGCTTTTTACACTTCTCTTTTTTCTGATTCCAGGATTCCTGAAAAAATTCTCAGATTCTTCCCATTTTTTCATGGTACTAAGCTTGTGAATGCATCAAATGGTTCTGGGTTACACCCACATCTTGTGTTGGAAGATGTTGTGTCCAATTACACAAACCCATCAGTAATTGATATTAAGATTGGTTCAAGAACTTGGCACCCTCAAGCTTCTGAGGATTACATCAACAAGTGCCTTAAAAAGGATAAGGAAACCTCTAGTATCCCTTTGGGTTTTAGAATTTCAGGGTTGAAGTTTGTGGGGTCCTCCAAACAAGACTCTTCTTCCTCTTTGTGCTGGCAACCTGTGAGGAAGTCTCTTCAGAACCTATCTGCTGAGGAAGTTAAATTGGTTTTGAGGAAGTTTGTTTCTTCTAATAGTAATGTTACTGATTGTGTTTTTGGGGCTAAGGTTTTTGGGGAGATTTTGGAACAGTTGTTGGAGCTTAAGCAGTGGTTTGAGGTTCAGACTATTTTCCATTTCTATTCTTGTTCTGTTCTCATGGTGTATGAGAAGGAAGAGGAGAGTGTGGTGAAAGGAAAGAATTCAGGTGCTCTAGTTAAGCTTGTTGACTTTGCACATGTGGTGGATGCAAAGGGTGCCATTGATCATAACTTCTTGGGTGGCCTTTGTTCTTTGATTAAGTTCATTTCAGATATCCTAGCTGGTCTAGATGATAACAGCGTTTCTAAAGATGAACACTGAGAGAGACTACTTGGCACCTGGGAGGATTTTGGGATTCCTAAATTTTTTTGTTGCAATAGAGGATTTTGCATTGTTACTAAACTTCAACCTCCTTTATTTTTTCAAAGCTGTGAAAGAAAGTTGAAAAGCTTCTTCTTTTTATTTCCAGAATAACTTAATCCAAACACATGATCACTACTGCCTTTGCTATTCTCTATTGCATTCCTTGCCAATGAATCGTGAAATGGGAATGTGTTTATCTTGTGGACAGTTCATCCCTGATGTTGTAATTTCTTTTTAACTTATGATGGGGTCCAATGTTAAGCAACTACTTCCCATCTTCTAATTCTTGTTGCAGATGAACTTAAATTTCTTGCTAATGACTTAAAGCTTCATTCCCGGCTGTTATTTTTGTCTGATGAGATGACGAATTCTATCAGATCTTTCAAAAAGTTCCAAATGATACTGGCTTTTTTTACCTAACAAATGCGCTTTTTGAAATATTCTTCGGCTAATGCAGGTTTAAACGTGTACCTTGTACAAACGTGACTAAATGTGCACAAGTATGTGCAATGCGGCAGTCACTTTTATTAGAAATGCGTACCTAGTATTGACATCATTAGACATGAACTGTACATGTTCAAATTGTTTTAAACATGTATCTGGTGATGACGTGACCAAACACGTAGCCACAGGTTACACTTCTCATTGCATCAGTATGGTAATACATTTGATAATAAAAATTTCATAAAATACATTGGTACGGTCAAAAGGCTGATGATACTTTATTGTTGTGATTACTTAATAACATGCATGCTTAGTCTAATGTTTCTTATGGGTTGCTTTTGAACTATTCTTATTATCTTATCCATTTTTTTTTTAAATATTAGATTTTGGACTCTTTCTACTACTTTTGACTTATTGCCTATTTGGATTTTATTTTTTTTAAGCTAAAAGTTACTTTTAAGTTAAAGTTAAAAATAAAAAACTTAAAAAAACTTAAAAGTTGTTTGGTGATTACATTAAATTTTTAACTTAAAAGTTCAAATCTCATTTTAAGAAAAGCTTATAAGAACTTAAAAAAAACTCCTCCTATGAACTTTTAATTTTTGATTTTTTTTTATTATAAAAAAAGTTTTTTATTTTTTTTTTTTATTTTAAGAGTTTTTGCACAAACTTGTTTGACCTAGCTTCTGTTTATAAGAAGAAAAGAAACTAAAAAATAGAAGATCCAAAGAGACACTTATTCCTTAGTTTTATGATAGTTTGGTTGAAGAAGCAATAAAATATGTCCGAATACCTCTTAATATAATAGGTAACTTCTTGACTATTTGACTGATAAAATCACAATTTTTTTAGCTGACTCATTTGATTCTTATTTGTGTGATGTATGGTGCTTATGCTTTCTTTCAGTAAGGTACATGCATATAAGAATTCATCTGAAAGGAATTCAAGACTCATACAATTTTCAAGATAAACATGAATTTAACTAGTATTTATTTTGCTGGCCTTGTTGGTGATTTTAATTCATGGCCAAACATTGTCTGCACTTAAATATGTTGAAGAGATTGTTAATCCAACTTAGTTTTTGGGGTTTTCACATCAAAGGTCAAGTTTTCCTTCAATTTTTAGTACTCTTTCTATTCTGTTCTTCTTCTTTGTTTCTTTTGTTGCCCTTGTAACTAAAGCTGGCAAAACGGGCTCGGCTCGGCTCGGCGGGCCAACCCGCCCAACCCGATAAACGGGGCGGGGCGAGTTGAGTTTTTCAATCCATTTCAAAAGCGGGGTGGGCGGGGCGAGCTCATTTTTTGACAGGTTGATGGCGGGCATAGGCGGGCCGAGGCGGGTCAGTGTAAAATAGGCTCGGGCTGGCGGGAAAACCCGCCCAACCCGCCAAACGGGGTGGAGTGGGCTGAGTTTTTGAGCCCATTTTCAAAAGCGAGACGGGGCGGACTGACTCATTTTTTGACGGGTTGATGGCGGGGCGAGGCGGGGCGGGGCGGGCCGCCCACTTTGCCACTCTACTTGTAAGTCTAGTGAATAAACTTATTCTTTCAATGTGAGTTTTTTTTTTATTTTTTATAAAGGGTAAAAATTTCTCCAATAAATGAAGATAAGTTATCTCTGGTGAGTACAAAACGATATTGTTCTGAGACGAAAATCAATGTAATTTTGCAATTCTAATACATTGCATGGTTATATTAATCTTTATCAATATAATTTTTTAATTTTATAACCATAAAACGACGTTGTTTTGAGCAATGTTATTAGAACTGGACCGGTCATTGATCCGGCCGAGATACCGGGTCACTGGATCAATGGTTCAACCGGTGGGTCACGGGTTGAACCGCATGAACCGGATATATATATATATATATATATATATATATATATATATATATATATATATATTTGTATTTTATACTTAATTATATAATAGATATTTTAAATGGTGCAATCTAAACAATAACCTTATGTAATTTAGTGGTATTTGCTATGTTGTATATCCTCCATGCAAGGGGTTCGAATCCAATTAGATGCAATTTTTGAAATAATTCTCGTAACTTAATAGTTATATATTAAGGGAAATGTTATACTTACTACCTTTTTTTTTACTACTTCTTACTACCAAATCCTAACCGTTGATTTCCGTTGATCTAACGGTTATAATTTATTGAAAATTAATAATTAATTAATAAATGTAATCCAATAAATTATAACCGTTAGATTGAAGGAAATCAACGGTTAAGATTTGGTAGTAAGAAGTAGTAAGAAAAAAAGGTAGTAAATATAACCTTTCCCATATATTAAATGGTGCATTTTTTTTTTATAACATAAATGGTGCATTTTATTTAACTAGTGATGGTGGCCTAGTGGTATGAAGTGGCGCTCTTCGCTCCAATGTGCTGGGTTCGAATCCCACCTGCAACAAAAAATGTTGTGTAACTAATTTTATATAATAAATATATTAAATGGTGCATTTTTTTTTTGATAACATAAATGGTGCATTTTATTTAACTAGTGATGATGGCTAGTGGTATGAAGTGGCGCTCCTCACTCCAATGGCTGGGTTCGAATCCCACCTGCAACAAAAAATGTTGTGTAACTAATTTTAAAAAACCGGTTTAAAGAGAAAATCGGAACCGGTTTACCAGTTGAACCGTGACTTATCAACGGGTCACTGAGTCAATATCGGTCGGACCGGTTGATGAGCCGATTTTCAAGCCAACCGGCCGGGCCGGTCCGGTTTTAATTACACTGGTTTTGAGTTCATCAGAGAAATACTTTTCCTTTTTATAAATCATAAGTAATCTACATTCAATGTGAGACTTTGGCTATTACTATTTCAGTTTGTAAACTTGCAACAACCTGGTTAATACAATGTATGTTGTTCTTCTCAATGCCATTATATGTTTGGCGATGCTATTGCTCTTTCTGGTTCAGTTACTTCAAATTATCGAGTAATTGTCGATTTGTTCCTCCACAATTTATTATTCACTAAATTGGTCCTTAATGTTGTGACAACCCATTTGCTACTTCTGTATTTTTAGTGTATTTTGCAACATATCAGTTTGCTACAAAAACAATCTCAATTTTCATGTGTAATTACTATAAATAAATAAAAAATTTGTGGTAAGGCAGGAATCAAAAGATCCAATGATAATTATTGCCCCGATGTAGTGCAAAATATCAGTTGTTTCAGTTCTGATCCTTGATTTTGCAAATGCTACATCCTCTGGAATATCCTTATCAAGGTGATGGCAGGATGTTTGAAAGTATAGGGCTTTGCAGGAGTATTCTACTATAGGAAAAGTAAAGGTTTTACTTTTATCCTTTCGCCAATCTCTCATCAAAAATAAGAACAGATTCGAAGTTGGAAACCAAAGGTACACAATACAAGACAAGTCAATAGAATTCGAACAACAAATTTCGTAAATTTAAAGATAATTACATGTATTATGATGTGATACCTTGAACCATTTCCATCTGTCATCAGTTGAGTTTTGAGGTACGGGCTCAGGCCGTTTCAGTAGAACATGATGACATCTTAACACAGCCAGCAACACCTTTGTGAACTGTCTGCTTATTGTTTCACCAGACCGCATAAACTGTCTTTTAATTATTCGATTTTTAACATCGTGAGCCAAAATGTAACGCCTGGCAACTTGCAAGGATTAACGACTGTCCCCACACACTAACACGAGACTTTTCAGCATGCTTTGTCCTCACTCGCACACCGGGAAAACTTCCCAGGAGGTCACCCATCCCAGAATTGCTCCAACTCAAGCACGCTTAATGATGAACCCTTAGTTCATCAGGTTTTTGAGCATGAATTAGTATAAATTTGTGTGATTAAATGATGGAAAAAGAGGTTAATATCTTAGAATTTCCTCAACTACAAGTTCAAGAAGCTTTATTGAGAATTTGTATTGTTCTTGTAGGAAAAGCAAGCTAAAAAGGCAACTGGAGAAGGAAGGAGATTTTGAAGAGGAGAAAAATGCCTAAGTGTTGAGTGCTAAAACGTCCACACAGAACGTTTTAGCGCCCTGCTGCAGAAAGAGGCCAAAACTTGCTGGTGCTGAGCGCTAAAACGTCCACACAGAACGTTTAGCGCGCTTCTGCATTCCGAGGATGAAAAGTTGCTGGTCTTGGGCGCTAAAACTTCCTTCAACGAACGTTTTAGCGCCCTGATGTTGGAAAAAGCCTCTGGTCTCCAACGCTAAAACGTCCAAACCAAGTGTTTTAGAGGTGGAGTCAGTTGAGGACAGTTGAGCATTCACAAGGCATGGACGCTAAAACGACCATTCATGAACGTTTTAGCGTTCAAGTTAGTTGAAAGCAGTTTGGCATCCGTCAAAGTTGGACGCTAAAACGCCCATAAGTGAACGTTTTAGCGCCCAAGTCAGTTTTCAGTTGTAATTTGTAAACTATAAAAGGACAAGGGGCCTTCATACTCTGACAAAAAAATCCAATCCATCATATCTCATTCTGACTTTTCCCATCACACTAGGAGAAGGGAGATCAGATCAGGTCTTTCATAGATCTGATCTGACTCCTCATTTTCTCTGAATTTCCAAATTCTTAGGATTAATTCTTGTAATAGTTAGTATTTCCTATGTAATTGCACTTGGAGATTGAAGACTCAACTATCATGTCAATGGAGTTTGATCTTTCTTCTCTTGTTTGTATTTCAATTATGTCTTAGGAGAGTCCTTTGTAGTCTGATTCAATGGAACTCAAGTTTGAATTTATGAATGGTTAATTAGATGTTTTGTTTATCTATTATGTGATTGTATGAAGTTGTCTTGATTAATTCTTCATGTTGAGGAATAGTGTAGAACAGACATGTTTACATTGTTTCTCTATTTTTGACAACTTCATCATTAGTGTTCTAGTAGTCAAGGGATTGATGCTAGGATTCTGATGTGTTCTTAAGACCTTAGCAATTAATGCATGTATTAAGAAAGGAATCACCAAGGGATTGAGGTTTCTGATTAATGTGTCTATCAGGGTAGTAAGGGATTACATCTTGAGATGATAAGAAAAAGGTTGATCAACATCACATAGTAGATAATTCATAATGAAAATTGGTTTATCTATAAATTCATGTTTGAGGGAAAATGACATCTGACTACTTGTTTACATTATAATTTACATTTTATTTATTTATCAAGTTTTAATTCAATTCAGTGTAGTTTCTGGTGACAAGAAATCTATGCAATCTATGAACTTTTGTTTGATTTAACTCAAGTACATATGGTTAGTCAGTGCTTGACACAAATCCTCGTGGGAACGATCTTTACTCATCATTTTATTACTTGTACGACTAGTACACTTGCTAAACGTCCAACACTTAACTGTGGAGTTCTTCCGTTCCGGGCTACCGAAAAGTAGATGCATCTTGTTAGTATAGGTAGTACCAATTAATTCTTATAAGCCATTCCCAACTATACCGTCCCATACTAGCACAGTCTCTGGAATCCCTCTCTTTCGGGTGTGGATTCGATTCATTCATGTACCCCCGTCCCTAGAAGCCTGCCAGGAGCCGCTCCTTGTCCATGCCCCTTCGCACCGGCGATCACTCCCCGCCCTCGTCAGCGCCCGGGATGTTACACAAAATATGAAGAAAGATTGCAACATCTCTTCTACAGCCATGTGCTTCGACGGTTCAAGCATGCCAACTGTTTTAACTAAGTCACACAATGCATGAAAAGATCTCTTATCCATCTTTGTATTCTCAATACAAGCTGTGTCACTAAAATACACTATTCTATGCAGATTGACTTCCCTGATAGGAACCCTATTGCAATTATTCCATGTGACTCTCCTCCTTGAATTTTTCCTTTTTTCACTTTCAGCTAATAACAAACCATAAACTCTGAATAAAACCACGGTCAACTTATTCAAAGACTGCAATTGACAAATGAGAACAACAATGACACTCAACTTCATTCCGTTGTTCATTGCCATGATCTAACACAATAAGGTCAAATTTAATTCAAATTACTCGAAATATCCACAACGTACAAAAACATAAAATAGAACAAAATTAAATGCTAAGGACCATTGAAATAATACAATTTTGTCAACGTCAATGTACAGAATCACAACTGACATCCATGCCAATGACCTATAATTATAGTTTTACACTCATGCACTCAAAGGTAAGTTGGACACTGTTTCAAGCTGTAATCTTGCTCCATTTATTAATAAAACACATAAAAAAAGTTAACATTTCGAAATTACACTGGACAACAAAAAATCACATCCCATAGTTCAAATGTATGAACATGTTGTCAGACCAATCGAAAACACAAAAAAATTAAAACTCACAAAATTAATATAAGCCAAATACAGTGTCATTTATCATAGATATCATTTTGACAATGTCATGCTTTATCGCCAAACCCAATTTTTTGTCAATTCTTTTCCATAAAAAATAAGGCATATAAACTTTCTTGATGTTTTTTAACATAAACAGAACAAAGACTCCATTCTGACCCTACACAAATTGTACGTATCTGTACAAACAATTACACAACAGATTGTCGAAAGGATGAACTCGGTTACGCAACATGTGTATAAAAAAATAAAAAAATATCATAAGACGAGCAGGTATTTCATATGGGTATTCAACTTTCAACAAATACATAGCAGTATTTCTTTTTCTTATACAATGGTCCTTAAACAGGTTACACGTCTCCTACGAGTCATCAAAAATCAAATAACCTCTCACCCAACACGTTTGACCTTACGGATGACAAAAACATTAAAATGGAACTCACATACAAGCAGGGGCGGACCGATGGGGTGCTAGGGTTGGCGACCGCCCCCTCAAAATTTGAATAATTTTTTTTAATATATGTATAATGCAAGAAATCTTCATTTTTCCTCTCCATTAATGTGAAGTAGTTTTCTCCCACCACGGAGTTTATAGAACTTCTTTGTATTCTCAGGTCCTATATCTATTGAAACCCCTCTAACTCTGACTGCAATTTTTTACAAATTATACTAAGAGCCTGTTTGGATCCTCTTATTTTTAAGCTTGAAACTACATATAAACTAAAGCTAAAAATAGTTAAAAGCTGCTTGGTAATTACATAAAAAATTTAGCTTAAAAACACATATTTCAAGAAAATTATCCTCTATCTATCTTTATAACTCTTCATTTAAAAAAAACACATAATTCAAGAAAAACAGATAAGAGCTTAAAAAAAGAGCTTTTCATTATAATTTTTTTTCCCAAAACCTGTTTGGCCTAACTTATGCTTATAAATAGCTTCTAGCTTAAAAAAGAGAAGATCCAAACAAGTACAAATATTTAATTTTTTGTATTTTGACCTCCCATATATCATGTTTTGAAGAGAGAAACAAATGTTTAATTTTCAGCCCCCCACAGAATTTTTTTTTGGGTCCGCCACTGCATACAAGGAGTAGCTCGTCAATGGGAGACTTACGCTTGGAAGTAGTAGATCTGTTGCTACCACGGTCAAGAACAACCTTCTTCCAAATCGATTTGATGAAACTGTTGACAACAAAAGAAATCAACACAGAATTTATATCAGATTCTACATGCATGCCGACAATATCAATACATTCCACCACTTTACCTTTCTCACGTGAAGCTCAATGTAAGTCTCCAAGCGGATGACCAGCGCTGGTCAAGATCTTCTCCAAAGCCAGTTATGAAGTCCCCGCGTTGCTTCAGTAGGAAAAGACACAAATCGTACCAAAATAAGGGTTATTTTAGTCAATAGTTTCGCGCCTCAAATGATATTTGCCCGGGACCGAAACACTTCCACGTTTTCTATGGACTTTAACAATTGCATTTGGCACCGTACATAACACACAATAGAAATTCACGGGATTTCTTTGTACTCTGGAAACCTTCGTTTTTTTGCGTACCAAACGCGGGTTTAATTATGTCGAAGCTAGCTTGCCTGAGGTTTGCAAAAAAAGTCGGCTACCAAACAGCCCCTAAGAGAAAGAAAATGGCAAAGAATTTTAGCTGGGGTTGAAGCAAAAATCATTTACCCATATAAAATACACACAATACATAGCCCCAACTGTTACAATAAAAATCTTAATGTGCCCGCCACTTCTTCAATAGTCAAATTACATCACTCTCTTTTAAAATTTTAGTAGAAAAAGATTTGCCGTTTTTTTGGTAATGTCCGATTTAGCCGATTTGATCGAATGAATCAGTTAAGAAAAAATAAATATATCATTGTTATTTAGCACTTGGCAAAATGAGGTAAACCATAATTTTGCATGAAAATTGCTCTCATCTTACTTTTCTAATACAAATGAACCTCCAATTCCAATTAGAGTTCTTGGTTCAAGTGTAGGCAAAATATTACTTTCAATTTCTTGCACGTTTAATTTGTAGATACTTTTTTTTGATATTTAAAGGAGCTGAAAAATGATTATTGTATTAAGCAAACAAATAGAGCTTGATATCATTTTAGAAATAGCTGTTGCAAGTTGAAATATGAGAAATTTTGAGTATTATTTCATGAGTTGTCATGTACAATGATCTATAATATATATTAGGATGAGAACAACTCCTAATATTTACTTTCCTAATTAAAGTGCTAAATATTGGAAAACAAATAAGGGGAAATAGGTCTTCAAAAAAAAGAAGAAGAAGAAGAGAGAAATAGAACCTATAATAATTTTTCTGTAATCAAAGATACAATCTATCCAATAACGGAAAATCAAATCATCGTTAATTATAATATCAAATTAATGTTTGTCATTTTAAAGTATACATAATTATGTCATTTTAGTGTATCCAAATTTTTTTTTATGTCATTTCAGTCAAAAGTATAACATTTTATAGTAAAAAAACGAGTTACACAATAAACATTATTAGAAAAGAAAAAACAATTTTTTTTTATATAAATATTAATAAAAAATAATCATTATTAGCTAAAATGATTATACTTAAAACGAGAAATATTTTTCCTTATAATATACACATCAATCTTAAATATCATGTGTATCTAAATTATTTTAAGCAATAAAAATACCAAATTAAACAAATGATCAAATCAATGTTCATCTTAAAGCTGTCATTAGAAATTAAAGAGAAATACCAAAAACCAACAGAAAATTCATACTTTAAATAACCGCACGCGAAATAACAAAGTTATTAATTACTTAGTGGGATAAGTTATATTTACAACTTTTTTTTTTTTTTTGATAACAATATTTACAACTTTTTATTTTTACAACCTCTTACAACCATATATCATAACCGTTGATTTCCGCCAATCAACGGTTATGATTTTCGCAAATTAAATTCATTAATTAATTATTAATTCATAATAAATGACAACCGTTGATTGACGAAAATAAATGGTTATGATATATGGTTGTAAGAGATTGTAAAAATAAAAAGTTGTAACTATAACCTTCCTCTTAGTTATAATTATAAAAATAATTAAGTTGAATTAAATTAATCTTTATTTAAATACTTAATATTTTTTTTTTCTCATTTCATTCAATACAAATATCAAAAGAAAGAACAAGAAACAAAAAATCTATTATAAAACAAATCGGAACGCTCATCATATGTCGCAGTGTTTTGTCTCTTAAATCAAACAAATCGAAACGCTTGTCCTCGCCGATTTGCCTAACTTCAACGGAGGAATAACCATCCAATTCATCCACATGTCAATGGTAATTTTTCATCCCTTTCCAGTCAATTTCGATTCTTTTTTTTTTTTAATCACGAATTTTTATTCATTTAGAGTTCTTCTGTTACGATTCAGCAAGTTTTGTTATTATTATTAATATTTCACGTCAAGAAATTTTGCGTTTTGTTCAGAGTTTCTCTTGTTTAAAAATTAGGGCAATATAAATTATGGGTATATGAATAAGTTGTTTCACTAGTATGATCAAGGCAGGGACATGAATTGATGAATGGTCCCTGAATTTTTTTTTCTTTTCAAATTAGGCCCACGTTGGTCCTTCCGTTAGTGAGGCTCCAACGGTGTAACCAAGATAGCATCAGAAGAAAACCTTGCTGACCTTTTTACCAAGAGTTTGCATGAACGTGTGTTCGAGAGCCATGTTACATCTATGAGTCTTAAGAGGGTTCCAAACTTGCTGTAGCTTTAGGAGATTGGATTTTACTTTGTTAATTTTATGCTCTATAAACAAGATATTATGACATTGTATTTTTCTAAAAGTTTGTAATGAGGTATTAATCATTTAGTGGGGATGTTACTAACGTTTCTCACCTGGACTGTTAAGTCACTGAGTCAGATTCAAAGTAGGATATAAAATCACGTCGTAATTTAAGTGGCTGTCTTCTTCTCTTTTTTCTTTATTTCTGAAAATACAATAACCTAACACACCCATCTTCTTCTCCACAACCAAATCCTGCTGCCCCTTTGCTTCTCCGCCGGCCTCCTGCCATGATTTTTCTTGCTCCCTGTCCAAGATCAGTATGTTGTCTTGTTACAGCAGTGAGACATGCTAGATGGTGGGTACCCCTGTGGGTCGTCCAAGGTAGTTGTCTTGGGGGCACATAGTGGGACCAATCATGGGTTTGGGGTTTGGATTATTATGTTGATTTGGGCTAGGGAATGAAGAGGATGTGGCATTTAGCTAAGCTTGTATGGGGTTCAGAAAGGTGACTACTTTTAGTGGGGCCAGACTTTAGGATTAAAGTGGGTTTCAACTCCTAACTTTAAACTCTTTTTTGAGGGGAAAAAAAAAAAATCCTTTTCTTTGTCTCTTCAAATTAACGAAGTCCTCGCCAGCAATTAATTCTAAGATGGCTGAGATTTTGCTTGAAACTTTTGATGTAAAAAAGTGATGGGGTTTCGTAGAGAGTTTGTTTGAGACTTTTTAAACAAGATTCGATTCAGCATAGTGGTTGACCATTTTCATCTTTTTTATTTGTGAGGATATATGCAAGTAAGTGATTGTATCTGCAAGATTGTAAAGAGCTGAGTGTTTTTTTGTGTGTGTGTGGTTGGTTGGTTTGCCTTGCGTGTGAGAGAGCGAAAGTTTGGGCTTGTGAGATAGTGTTTGAGTTTGGTAGTGCGCATGCATCACAAAGAGGTGGATATTGTGGTCATAATGGTGGCTGCCAGCCACAACTATAAGATTTTGCGTTTTGTTCAGAGTTTCTCTTGTTTAAAAATTAGGACAATATAAATTGTGGGTATATCATAGTAGCTAATTGCGCTGCGAGCCGCGCCGTATGGGTGTTGCGGTGCCTTGTCGCAAGAAACTGCGTCGCGCCGTATCGGAACGCAATAGCGGCCATTGCGATTGCATTTGCGGCCATATTGTTGTCATAAGGCAAAATGTTAATTTTGTCTTAAATTTAAATGTGTAACAGAAAAAATTTAAGGGTTTTTTAGCTTATCCGCGTCTCTCTCTGTCACTTCTGCTATCTCTGCTTTTAATTTTTTTTTCTTTTTATTATTATTTCTATCATATATCTATTTCGCTATTTCCACAACCGCAACCTGCTATAACGCTATAGCGTTTTTCAGGGTTGGCCGCGACATGCCACAATCCGCATTTGATAACTATGGGGTATATGAATAAGTTGTTTAACTAGTATTGACCAAGGCAGGGACATGAATTGATGAATGATTTAGTTATAATTATTTTGTTGGTGTATATATTTTATTTTAAATCAATGAGCATCTGACTTTGATTTTTCTTTCTTTTCTTTTTTTGTTTGTTTAAAATTTGTATTAGGATCTTGATACATATGAAATATGATGTTGATGGCATAAACCTGAAAAAAGAACTCAAGTTGTATAGAATGGAGCTTGATTTGAATGAGGAGCCTTGGGACCCAACTCATTCAGTTGTTGAATTTGATTCTATATTGGATGAACTAGAATCTGCCAATGGAGATATACATGACCGTATTAGACACCTTGAAGCAGTGATTTCCAGAGCTAGGCAGCGTCAGAGGTGGCCGACGGGAGAAGCCACTGCAAATAATGCTCAAGATGAAGAAGGAATGGAGCATCAGGAAGTTGAAGAAGGAATAGTTGAAAGTGGGAAAGTGGGCAAAGGGAAGGGTTCTGATTTAATAGCTAAAGCATTGGGTGGGGTGGAAACAGATGCCTGCAAGGCAGGGGGCAGCACTGGAAATACGATTCAAGGTTCTCAATCTCGCCTGGGGACAGACAGTAATCAACATACTGTTTCCCATCCAGTTTCAAGGTTGTTAGTACAAGGAGTTGCTTCATTTTCATCCCTTTCATCAGCATGAAATTCTGCAGAAAGATTAGTTGAGGAGGACCTTGAATCATATATGCATGGTCATGCTGTTAATAGAAATTCAACTTTTAGTGATGCTGCTACAAATCTGTCAGCGTCTTGCTCGAGATGTTACTGCAACCAATTCCACACCTGCAGCTTCTGTGCCTGCTTCAAGTAGGAATGTTGACACAATTGCTGTTTTAGGCTCAGATTATAGTCTCTCTCTCCCCTATCTCTTTCATCTGTTACATTGGAGATGCTTTTGCTCTTTCTGGTTCAGTTACTTATTTTGGTTAGCGACTAAGATATTACTAGTAGCATTCTATTACACCGAAAATTATCGAGTAAATGTCGATTTGATCCTCCACAATTTATTATTCACTAAATTGGTCCTTAATGTTGTGACAACCCATTTGCTAGTTCTGTATTTTTAGTGTATTTTGCAACATATCATTTTGCTACAAAAACAATCTCAATTTTCATGTGTGATTACTATAAATAAATAAAAAATTTGTGGTAAGGCGTGAATCAAAAGATCTAATGATAATTACCCCGATGTAGTGCAAAATATCTTCAGTGGCAATTGTTTCAGTTCTGATCCTTGATTTTGCAAATGCTACATCCTCTGGAATATCCTTATCAAGGTGATGGCAGGATGTTTGAAAGTATAGGGCTTTGCAAGAGTATTATTGTAACGCCCCGTTGTACACCCGGAACCTTAACATTGCTTTATGATATTAAGCGCAGTTACAATCATATTGGTTCAATTAGAAATCCGGATAAATTTTTTCTTTTTAAACAAGCCGAATTTGAAGTAACCAATTGCGTGACCATAACCATATTACTTTGCGGAACAGTGAGACTAAGCTTAACATCATATTCTCATCTTATTAGACCATACGTCGTTAAATGTCTTCATTTATTTTATTATTAAATTAATTCTATACTTCATTTATAGTTCCCATCTCCTTCTATGTTATAGATCTCCTTATTAGCTTCAAGTGGGTTCAAACCACGCTCGAATCGGAACTACGTAGCTCGAGTTATGCAAGTTTTACTAAACTGCGTTTTTGCTGATTTTTTTTGAATTGAGCGTTTTGGTGCTCAACTTAGAGTTTAAACGTCCAGAGGCAGAAAAATTTGCCTTCTCCAGGTCTCCAGAGCATTTTGGCGCTCAACTTTTGCATTTAAACGCCCACTTTTAGCGCTCATTTGCACGTTAAAACGCCCAAGGGACCAATTAGTGTAACACCATCCTTGTATGCATCCAAGAGAGTTGTTTGCTAAGCGGATTAGAGTTCTTTAATCGTATTTTAGAGACTGAAAATCACTTTTACAATGCCAATTAAAAACTTATAATTGAAATCGAGTTCGTCACAAAATCAGAGTATACTTTCAAAATTTCTCAACTATTGAAAATATAACTTTCCTGGCAGACCTTGCTGTCTTTAAAAATTCGTATAAAATTCAGTTCAACGATTCAAAAATATATTCTTTGTAATCTAGAAACTAGACATCCGGGGCTTCGCGTTCATATAAAATAATAGTAATTTGAAGGTCGTTTGCCCCTCGAAACATAACTCGTAAGGAGAGAGTTAAAATCAGTGAATTTCTATCAAACGACCTGACTTGCAAAAATCATAATAAATCGAGCTTTCAGAATCACGTTGAAAGGTTTATATCTAATGAAACTAGACACCTGGGGCTACGCGTGCATATAAATTGTAAGAAAATCAGAGGTCCGTAGCCCCGGGACGCCAACCTACAAATTGCTCGCAAAAAAGTTTTAACTTAGCTTTCAAGACGTCATGAATCAGTTTTCGTAAAACGGTTCTGAAATCCGTTTCAAAACACTTGTTGTTCTTAAAAGTCTTAAAACAGAATGCAAACATAGTTCACTAATAATTTAAACATCCACAATTAGTACAATTATCCATGAAATTAATATAATCACAGCAGCAAGCCCAACAGTAGAAACCAACAGCAAATATCCAAGTCCTCAAAAGTTTTTACGTCCTCCTGCCATTTTGTAAAAATAGCAGCCCCAAAGGGGTGAGAGAAAATCTCAGTAGTGTGGCAACAAAACCATAATGCAACAATATTAACTAGGCACAAAATCATAAATAGTCACTTCAAACATTTAATCATTTTCATCATATATCATAACGCGTATATAACGCCCTTTTTCCTTTACGCTCATAGCACCGTCGTGCGCGTAGCATCACAGTGGGTATTCCTAATGGCTCCCATGAAGGTGAATCCCACTGTGGAACCTATGCGGACTGAAGCCAAGTGTCCCATCTCCTGGTATCAGTCATGCCTATATGATGCATGCTCAGTCACATGTCCTCAATACAAATATATATATATATCCAAGATGTCATGAATCAAGTATACATGCCATGTTATGCAATCGCACCCAACAGAAAAATGTATTATGATGTAAAATGCATGCATATATCATATCATCCTTTCATATTCTTACCATTGGCTCATCATCATCATAACATACATAGAACAAATGTGAGCAACACATCACTATTCCATACACTAGCCAATAGTCACATTAGGTAATACCGCCTACACATACCTTGGCACTTTACTTTTAAATCAAGCATTCCAAACATCATCGAACAGTCCCATTATCTAAGAACTTGTGCACCTAAACAAATACATACATCAAATCAGAATTTATCACGTTTATTTTCCATATATTACACAATTGTCCCGTCCTCCTAATTCTTGATTTGTGATCGGTTTCCAGGTCCTCATGCTAAACGAATTTTCTGCCCTTATATGAATTTAATTAGTTTAAACATTTCTCATTTCTACCGATGAATAATAGGTAGTATAATCAGGATTTTTCATGCATGTAGGTTCGATTTTATGCTTTCTATATTAATTATATTTTTACCTTAAGTTTGTCCTGCCAATTGTTGTCAAGTAACAAAACATCCCAATTACCTATACATTCATATAGGGTTTTGGCCAACAATTAGAGTGCTAATACCATACACATATTAACTCCTACAAGGTGTAGGGTGCACTAAATGATTAAAACATACTGCCTATGTAGACCGTTAACAAAATTCTAAGATTCTAATCAAGTTATCATACTTCCAGGTTGGTAGCTTTATGTCCTTAGTTTATTCTAACAATTTCTCTTAATTGCCAACAGCTCAAAGTCCATAAGGCATACTGAATCGATTTTAAGCTCTGAAGTAGGTGCTCATTATTTTTCCTATTCCAAACTTCCAGTCACATCAATTAGGCATGAAGAATTAAATTCCACATGCTGCCTACACAGATTTTATTACGTATAAGGCTATCTATAACAATCTATTCCAACAATTAAGCACACAATGATGAGGCGATTGCATGTGCTTAGGAGTATGTTGATAGCATGATGAAAAATAAATGGACCACGCATAAGTGACAAAGGCACTGTCTTGCTAGAAAAAGAAAAATGAAATAAAATAAATAATATAGGACCTTAGATGATGGACTTAAAACCGAATCTGTGTGTTCATGGAAACTATGGGATTTTATTAAATTCTATCAATTGGAAGGATAAAATTCAAGGTAGAAAATAACATTAGAAGCATGATAACTGATCAAAATGTAAAGATTGGAAGCCTTGTTAATGGACAAGAAACCGAAACCACAGGCATAGAGAATCAAGGCTATGTAAAGGATAATTTGTAGCACAGAGACTTCTCCTCCAATTCACGAACATTGCGCGTTTTAGCACCCATTTCAGCGCTAAAACGCTCTCCAGCTAGGCAAAACATCCCCTCCCCTGTTTTCATGTATCTCCATGAGAGATTTCCTCCCTTTTTCATCATTCTATTCACACCTAATTGACATTATACAACTTTTAATACATGATCCTTAACTATGTTAAGACACACATTTATCAAATGGCATCTATGCCCTTCCATCATATCTACATTCAACAATCCTTTTACAATCTAAAGGATAAAAACATGATTCATATTACATCCATATTCAAATATACCATTACATCATTGTTCTTCAAAAGGATTACATACTAAAGACTTAGAAATAACAAATGATCAAAGTCCCAAAATAGGTACGCCATGGCTAAACATCAATGATCACTTCTAAGTCCTATGTGCACTCATATACAACTAATGCATTAAAATATCCTATACACAAGGTTTTCTACATGTAAGAAATCTCAAAATGTCATATATCAGGTACAATCTACTCATGCTTCTTGCCTCGATCATCCTCACCTCTATCAGTACCTGAAATGATGCCCCACAACACGGGGTGAGATATACGAATATATCACAGTAAACCAGGGGTCCTTGGAGATCACTCCACCCTAAGGTTCACTTTCGATGAACATATAATCATAACAGCTTAACACATTCTTATCCATTAACATCACATGGACTTCCAAGAGAGATCCACGACGAGCTGTTTCTCTTAGGCTCTTACCACATGGAGATCCACATAGGGTTGTTTCCAAGGGAAGTCCCTATCCTCAATCTAGGAACCTCCAAGAGAGATCCTCATAGGGCTGTTTCTCTTAGGCTCTTACCACATGGAGATCCACATAGGGCTGTTTCCAAGGGAAGTTCCTACCAATCATCCTCATCATAATTCTATCAATCATTACCTCAATCAATACTTACATTTATTAACCACTCCTCTATTACTCTTAAACAATCAAACATCAATCAATTATCATTAAGCTATCATAATATTTTTCAATGCATGAATCAATGCATGGGCATACAACAACTATCATCATTATATATCACACATCATAAACCATTCCTCCTTAATGGAGTATGGTGGAACATTCAAGGGGATCAACCCCAAGGTCCAAAGGTTTACCTTGCACTTGAACCTTCCTCAAAACTTTCCTTTCCTCAATTGAACACAACCACAAGGGTTGGTCACTCCACTTGGTCCTCTTGCCTCAATCCTATCAATACAAGGAATACAATCAAACCTACAATCAAACAATGCTAACAATGCAAGAAAATCCTTAGTTCCAAGCATAGATTTCTCCAAATATCAAAGCACACTAAAATAACACTTTAAACTCATTTCTATTGTTTATTTAGCATTCCTAACAATATTTGTAAAGGAACTTAGCTTCAATTTAACTTAAACTCATAAAATCCATAAAAACACTATTCATCATCTTCAACCTCTAGAAAACTCCATGAACACAAGGTTGGAGAAGTGGAAACTTACCACAATAGGTCACACAACCAAGAAATAGAGGTCTCCTAAGCTTCCATGGATGAAAATGCCCCCAAACTCCTCAAATCTTCAAGGAACTCGAAATCTTTTGAGGAAGGGATCTCTATCCACAAAGCTTCCCACTCAAAACTAAGC